AGAGCACCTTAGTCAGGTGTTGCAGATGTAGCTACTGACGGGCCTGCAGTCGGTGGCTGGCCCTCGGACGTCTGCGGCGTTGAACCACCAAATCTTCTTCGGTCCGTCTCCTGCTGGCGTTGACTTCGGGTACGGACACCCTCCGTTTCCTCCTTAGGTATAATCGGCATGATTTAATCCCACTTCTGACACCATTGTTACAAGCTTGAGGTTCTTGACAATAAAAATTGCCGATAGAATTACCAAAATTAACTCTTTAATTCACTTTACACTAATTAAAACTTATAACACTAATAATTAATCACACTGATTCACTTTATTTCGCTCCGAAGCTTCGCTTGTCTCGCCAAATTCAATACTTCCTCGATCGCATCTTGCAGCGCCTTTAAATACACGCTATCACCGAAACATATATTCAAGTAAATACGCGCAACAATCGACAAGGCGCCGAAAGTTCGAGTGTCGGGCTTCTAGAAGCTTAGTTCTTCGTTTCGATACTAGATGGCGCTGTCGATTGAAAGCTCCCCTCGCTTTCGTCCCGACACTTGATGGCGCTAGTGACAACAACTTAGGCGCGCAACAATATATATATATATATATATATATATATATATATATATATATATATATATATATATATATATACAAGAATTGCTCCTTTAAAGGTATAGGATAATATGATATCCAGCAGGACCCAACTTGCTTGTATAACTTACCATTTGTGATCAATTATGTGCAGAACGTTCCTATATACCAATCAACAAACAATAAGTATTGGTATTTAAAACAGTTTATTTCATTTTCACTCAACTGTTTAATCATTTTTATTTTATATTAAAAATACCCATGTATATATTATACGCGGTAGAGCCATAGCAATACCACTAAAAAGAACCACTTTGTCGTATCTCCTCAGTTTCAAGGCACTTCCCTTGTTGCCTCAGCCAGTATCTGAATCCTCGGCGTCGACATATCGAGTGACGTGCAGTTTCGTTGTCACTTGGAAGAGAAGGCCAAATCGGCCTCTAAAAGTTTACAGCCTGGCCACGGGACATTTGCCGTAGCGGAATTTGCGCGGCGCGAACGGCGGGGCGTCTAGCGACTAAAACAAATGTATAGAAATGTATGAAGCATGCCACGCGTAGCGGCGAGTGGCGACGCGACCGGCGAAATTTACCAGGCGAATCGTGCGGGCGACTGGCGGAGCGGCGGGCGAATGAAACAAATGTATGAATCAGTACGGTGCAAGCCATGGGGTCGGGCTGCAGACGCGGCGAATAGTATAGGGAACAAAATATTTTAGTTGTTTTCGCCGCGAAAAATGCCGGTCCGACAAAAAAAACTTAAAATCCTATCCGCATTGACTTTTATCTCCAATTCTGGTTGAATATTAACAAGAATATAATCGCAGGTTTCGACACTCATTCTGGTATTTACTCGAAATTTTTTTCTAAATGCATTCTATTTGTTGTGGAGTTCTCCATTTATAACCCGATTCCTATTCAAATCATGTACTCCGCAATCTTTTCCAAATATTAATAAGTCTTGAATAAAAAACAATTACTTTCTAAGCAATATCGAGATTACTTGGATAAAGACATTTCACTCTCGGCCTATCTGGTCGCGGCGGCAAACGTGACTTCCCGTGGCCCTCAAATCGCGCCGCGCGAATTGTCACCCCGCCTGTCGCTTCGCCGTTCATGCCGCCGTTCCCCGTGGCCAGGCCGTTAATGTACTCAGCAGAGCGGGACAGTATTTCATGCCGGCACATCGCCTGCAAATTTATAAGGCACAGGTTCGGCATCACATGGAATACTGTTTCCGTTCTGTGGACCGATACGACTCAGGGAGCTTCAAGAAAAGAGCTTACTCCTTTCTAAAAGGCCGGCAATGCATCTGCAATTCCCCTGGTGTTGCAGTTGTTCATGGGCAGCGGTAGTCGCTAGTAGTGCCGTATGCTCTTTTGCCCCTCTTCTATAAAAAAGAACCATAATATGGGATCAGGGATCTCCATCTCAGTAATATTGTACAGTAAACAAAAATATTCATTTTCTCACTACTCTGTCAATATTCATTTTTATTGTGTGCGTTATAACTTTTTAACTTTATTTACGCTTATATAAATTTTGTAAAAATCTTGAGTAAGTACCGAGAACACTCTGAATCTGATCTCTTGTTTAAAACAAGTTGCAACTTAGCTGCCTGCATACTTAACTCTTTGTTTGACTGTACCTAACACGAAAAATCTGTATCATAGTATGCACTGCGTATATACGGTGAAGCTTGGTGAAGCAGCTCAAGCGACACTTAAGGGATAGCAATCCAAATTTAATTTAACTACTCAACATTATTCATTGCTTCATGTGATTGAGGAATTCATTTGCTCGTCAGCAAAAACAACGCAATGGGTATTGTTAAACTCTCAAATTGGTGTGGTTTGCCATTTAAGGTGTGTTACGCAATTAGGCTACGTATTTAATTTCTATTTACACAAAAGCCAAAATGTCAGTCATATTTATTCCTCAGATAAGTGATTTCACGATTGAAAATTCAGCGCTGTACCTATATAAATACCTACGGAATAAAGTAAATTAATCAACAAAGATTATACGAAATGAGAACAAATTCATATTAGTTACAATTTCGATATCATGCGCAAGCTGAGTTACAACCCTACAAAAGACTGCCATTTTATGCGCCAGATTTTTGTAGATAGTCACGCTAATTCTGTAGTCTGTAGGTATGCCCAGTCCATATACTTCTAAGCATGGAGGTTAGAGAGAAAGAGAACGATCGCAACGTACTAAAGCATAGCCCGCCTGTCCCTGAACTGCCGTCGGTAAGTATTGTCTGCGAAATTAGCTGTTTATAAGTATATTATGTTAGATAAATGATCATTATGCAATATTACTTAGCAACAAATTTAAAACTACCTACATTCATTCTAGAATTGAGTAACAATATAAAAGCGCGTACACTTGACGCTCGCGGCAGTTGATTACGAACAGTGATGCTGAGAAGGTTGTAATAGTTAAGTCTATTGTGAAATAAGGTGATTCTAAAGGTTGTGAGTAAAGTTAAGGTCGCTGCATACAGGACGGAATCAGCACGTGCACGGGATGAGGACGGAACGTGCTTGTATGTCAACATGGACGGGACAGTTTAATGCATACGCACCGTGACAGTGACTCAAAACTAACTTGCTAGTGTTGTGAAAGATGTATTTTTCATTTGAAGAATTGGCATTAGTTACTATTGCTTTAGACGATGAAGAATAATCATCAAGAGTAAAAGCAGATTTTAAGTACATCCTATGTGGCAGAAAAGAGGACTACGATGTGAATACCAAACTCTCTATAAAGAACATTTGGATGGCAAGACTCAATTTTATGTATTTTCGTATGACAACGTAAATAAAAAATAATATATACAAACAAATTGCAAACGGTTAGTATAAATGTATACTAACCGTTTTCAGTTAATGATTTTGTGTTCAATATGGATATGATCATACACATTTAATTAGTTTTTCGTCGTCCATTTTGTTCGGTACGACACGCGCATCACTGCGTAGCTAACGGAGCGACTGTGCATACACGGCGGAACCACGGATGGGACGTGGCACGCCCCGGGCGGGACGGAGTAAACATCGATATTTTTCCCGTCCCGTTCATGCCACGTCCCCGTCCCGTCCGTGCATCCGTAACGTATGCATTATCACGTACGTTTTCTATGAAACGATATTTCCAAAATTTCACGTCCCGTTCCGTCCGGGATAAAACACGTTACGTATGCAGCGACCTTTAAATTAAAATGTAGTCTTCTTTGTGAAAGTAATGTATAGTGTGTTATAAAGTATTATATACAATTTAAGAGTGAAATTAAACAACGAACGTAGTGGTTAAACAGTTAACTAAGTGAGTTGTCGTGGTTTTATAGTAGAACAGCTGATAATTAGATGAAGTTAGTTGAATAATATATAAACTTGCTTCGCGCCATTGGTGAGAAAATAATCGTTCTCCGTAATTTTTCAATTTTTGGCTTAAAGAAACATTAAAAATGGTGAAATATTGTATTGTACGTGGATGTGCATGTGGTTTAGCATCTGATCGGTAAAATAGACTGAAAATAACTTTTATTGAGACAACTTAGCGATTGCAGCGCCTCATTTATTTTGTCCATATTTCTGGGACACTATTTTCTATAGCGATCGTTCTCCTTCTCTCTAACCTCCATGCTTCTAAATCAGTGCCGAGATTGTGCACTGTAGACAGAGAAACCTATAGACAAATTGACGCTTTCTTTCGCACTCACACACGAAAAAGATAGATTTATGCATACGTCTTGCATAGAAATGAGACAGAGCGGTGTGATTATTTGTCCCTTTCTCCGTGCCGGTCTTTTGTTTAGCAAACTACACTTTGCTAAAGATTTTTGACAGTTCGAAGCGATCTAAGGAGTTTACAAGTTGGTTTAAGTGAGAGAAAAAGTGTTTTGTGAGCTTAAGATTGGTGAATCTTGTTCAGTTCAGTTCTTAGAACAATTAAATTTTTTATCTAAATATGTTTAAAAGTCATAAAGATTATTGTATAACCTAAAACTAGGTTATCGTCCTTTCTCACTCGAGGCCACGCTAATCTATACGTTACCTATTTAATAGTTTTATAATTAGTCTATAGGTTTCTCTGTATACGCTGTCTACGTTGTGTACAAAAACCATAGAGATATATACACCTTTCCGTATATACACTCTTATACTTAATAACTTATAGTTTCTTCTTTTATACTGTATTATAATTAGTTTTAATCGTAAATGTTATAATGTATTATCCTAAATTGATAATTAAACAATACACTCTTATCTATGTATGCACTCAAGTGTCAACTGTCAAACTGTCAATGTCAAAATTAGGGGTTAGGCTTTGACTAGCTAGTCAAAGGGGTTAGGGCAGTTTAGTTTACAAATAAAGTTGTTGTTTAGACTACAACACTAACTAATGATGGAATTTTTGCATAAATTACAAAATCTACAATTAGATAGTCTGAGTGAAGAATGGGTGGAGGCTATATTTAATTCAGAATTTTTGGAATTTGGAGATTTACCCCCAGAATTTGAAAGTGCGCTCGAGGCGTTCGAAATACACTCTGTTTTGATTGAAATAATGTTAAGTTTAGATAGCTGGTTGAATGAGGAACCATCTATTAGTGGAGAAAAATCGTGGGCCATTCTTTCACATCAAACACATCATCAAAAACTTTTATGTATTCTCGCTTACTTCATCGATTATGGAAATAAAAATGTACTTATTAAAGAACATCGTGATAACGCTCTGTTGGCCTCACGTTTGTATTATAAACTGCTCTCTATACCTGGATATAAAGCATATCATATCTACCATTCTCAATTGTTTGTGCACTCATTGGCGTGTCTGAGTTTTCCTAAAGCAATGTGTGATAATGAAGATAATTATTTCAATGCCCGAGAATTAACCTACGAAGTGAATGCAACAATAAAGGAGTTGAAGTATTATGTATCTGACCTTAAAAAAGTTATTCAAAGTTTACAGTTAAAAGTGCATGATATGAATTTTGAGGAAATCTTAAGTAATTTAGTTGATATAACGGGTGGTGCTATAGTTGTTAGGTTAAATATAGGTTAGTATTATTAATTATATATATTCACATTAGTTAGGTAGACAAGGTACCAAAACATTTAATAAAGCATTAAAGAAGATCCTTAAAATTTTCTAAGGGAATGATTGGAATGGAATAGGGTCTGATTGAAGCTTGCAGCTTCGGTGAAAATAGGTTGAAAATTTGTCCATAGCCGAAAGTTACTACCAAGTGCCGAAATTGAATGAACTATTATGAATGAGGGAGAGTGTGATGGATGTGGTGACACAATATTATCATCTCTAGATCAACTTAGATATTGTTAAATTTACTTTTTTTTTTCTTAGTATACAGTCAATATGTACCTTTAATGTAAAGTTTTAAAATCATTTATATCATTAACTTTATCCAGTCTTGAACTGTATTTCTTAGTATAAAGTCAATATATACCTTTAATTTAAAGTTTTAAAATAATTTATATCATTAACTTTAGCCAGCCTTGAACTGTATTTCTTAGGGCTTTTAAGCCTTGGGCTGTGGCGATAGCCAAGTAATTGGCTTCAGTCAAAATCAACCTTTATTCCGACACTAGAGTTAAGTAAAAGCAATGAATCAACTTTTGATATATGAAACTATCTTTCAGTTAGCATATATGCATCACATCAAAACAATCTCTTTTCTATGGCTTATAGTCTCAACAAAAAATCAATCAAAGTTTAATTTCAAATCAAATTACCAAAATTTTATTTAGATCTTGTAGGAGTTTTCAGTTTATGTTGCACTCATAGTATTTTGAAATGGCAATCTTGTGTTACTGCGGCTCCACATTATCGCTGTGAACAGGCGTGAATGTGGATGGTTTTCACGGGATTCACGCGCGTTAACGCATGTTCCCCGATCAGAGTCTGTATTTTGTCCCGCAAAAAAGGGTTCATGCACCCTTCACATGGCGTTCACGCGTACACATCCATACTCACGGCACTGTGCCAGTTCATTTTGGACTACAAAGGCCTACCGATGATTTAATTTAGTCATACACCATATTGTTTGTTGTTATATATATTATTTGTTGTTTTCTCAACGCTTTGTAATAAATTTCTTGTTTTGGATGTCTAAATAGTGATGAGTATGTTGCCACAGCAATTTTTTTTTTATAGGACAGGGTAACAAACTAGCACACAGTCCGCCTGATGGTAAGTTGTTGCTGCGGCCCATAGACATCTACATCTATCCTCGATTAAAAATCAAAATGCAGATGCGTTGTCACCCCTGAGGACTAAGATGAAATGCCTCATTTCCGGTAAAAAGGGTCTGCGGTTCTCTACACTCACCATACGAAGTAGTAGTAGTAGCATTAAGCTACTATTTTTACGCTGGTATTCTGTGAGAGGGTGGTCCTTCCCCAGTCGAGCCGACCCATTGGTGCTACAACTATACTACTAATATAACTGCAGCATGGCTCTACCACATATAAAATATATAATAAAAATATAATAAATAAATAAAGTTATTGCAGCAGTAGTTTCTACGACCGTTTCGCAGCGGGTTTCACAAACGATTGCAGAGGACGTGAATGTAGAGGGCGCGACTTGTGCCGAGTCTCCTCGATATTTTAATGGAGGCTCCACATTATCGCACGGCAAAAATGTGGAGCCGCCATTAAAATATGTGTGAAATGACACTAATACAACTTAGTAATGAAAAGAACCTTTTCAAAGATAATAATTTCTTTTCAACCACCTTTTACAACCTATAAACTAAATAGTATACTAGCTGGTACCCGCTCGCTTTGCTAGGCACACAGTAATATTTTATTGCGGAAACTATACATTTTTTTGATGGTACTATCTTAAAATTCATTCTTCATGAGCATCTACATCGTTAAATATGTAATTATACTAAATTTCAAGTCAATTGGGTGTATAATTTTAGAGATCTCATGATGAGTCAGTCAGTGGTATTTCATTTATAGATTATAGATAGATATAGCTCAACATAGGCTTCCCCATTAGATTGCCTTATAAATAGGATTTTGCTATTATTTCCACGCTCGGCGGACAGGTTGGCAACTGTATTATTTTATTTATTTGATTTATCAGTAAGATGCTGCTGCCCATCTTCTATTTCATTATCCTTGTATCACCAGTTATATTCTTACATGCAAAGTGGAATTCTAAACAGTTTACGAATATCCACAACACAATATAACTTTACTTTTACATATCTTGTGGGTGTCACAAGAGGCAACAGAGAAAAACTTAAACTCGCGGCAGCATCCACCTGATAGAAAACAATGCAAATACAAAAGGTGAAAATTTTCAATGACAAGTTAGCCAATGTATTTTTTCAAATCGCAGGATAAGGCTTGATACTGCTATTTTCATTTCTTGTTCCACATTGACCTTTAAGTGGTTTGCTTTTAATTACAGCGATAGCTGAAAATACAGTTTTTCGTAAATAGGACGTAACTAAGGAAATAAGAATTCTTACAAGCTCTTGAATTTAGAGTTGGATATTCAGTTTTGATTGATATCTTAAAATTCCCCAAGTGGAAACAAACAAATTTTAAAAATGTTGTTGCAAAAGTTTCTTTCAGGAGAAGTGTGGTTGTGTGGAGCAGTGGCGTAGCGTGCCTTAGACAGACCCTGTATCAAAATTTGTAGGGCCCAAATGAAAGGTCCAAAACCGCTTGCATGAATTAAAATATGTAATTATATATCTTAATATATATAAATTGTGTGTCATATTGTTCCGATACTCTAATCTACTTAACCGATTTTAATCAAATTTACACAGTTTGGTCCAACTCTAGAGATAGAATAGTTTTTTTGCCCATGAGTGACCCACAATTTTTTTAGTGAATTTAAGGATTTTTAATAGGAAAGGGCAGAACGTCTGCCTGACAAGCTAGTTAATTATAAGTTGATAATTACTATCAATACTTGTAGGAACAAAGCTAGCCAAACAATTCAAATATACACTTTTCTTGTCTTGTTCAGCAGACTTATAGGTCGGGGAAAAGTTTCTTCATATTTTATATACACATTTTTTTTTTCAAAGATTTATTACATTAAATTATTACATATTTATGTGCCATTTTGTTCGATAATTTTTTGACATCTTGTAGGTATAATGATTTCTTAAATTTACGCGAACACTACACATTGAATAAAACTATTATTTACGGATTTTATCGCGTTTAATATCTTTAATTTATTTTTTATTATTATCCCGACGTTTCGGGTGCTTTACAGCGCCCATGGTCACGGGGGGACTGAGATGTTTGACGTCCCAATGTCATAGTTAGTCCGGCTACCTTCAGTTTTTTAATATTAATTTTTGGTCCGATTTACGCAAAACGAGCTTATAGTATCATGAAGTCTTGCAGTGGTATGCTTGGGTTTGGGTTTAATTTTGTTGATTATAGGATCCCAAGCAGATGGTAGCACCCAACCATCTTCTCTATTGAAATTTGGATGTTTTTAATTTCAATAGCCTCGCGTATCATCCTTGGTAGGAATCGGTGTTCTTTTGCGAGAATTTGTGGTTTATCAAATCTAATGTAATGGTGGGGACGATCTTGAACATGTTCGCAGACTGCAGACTTCCCGGAGCGTCGGTGCTTCACATCAGCTATATGTTCCTTCACGCGGGTTTTTATAGATCTCTTTGTTTGACCTATGTAAGAGAGACCACATTCACAATCTAGCTTGTACACACCTGCATCTTGTAGAGAATTATTACATTTGATGGATGGTAAAAATTGACTAATCTTCTTCAGCGGCTTGTAGTATGTCTTAATGGACGCTCGCTTCAAGATGTAGCCAATCTTGTCCGTGACTCCTCCAACATATGGTAGTAGAGCAGGTGCGCGCTCGACTGTTGCCGGCTTCACTCGTTCACTGTGACGTAGGCGCGGGACCCGAAGCTTGTTGTCTTGCAATACTTGCTTGACGTGCTGAAGCTCCGCGGCTAGATGTTTTCTGTCACAGATCCCTTCGTGCTCTCTGAAACAAAGATTTACCCACGGTAGCTAACTGTGAAGGATGATGGTGAGATTCACCATTTAGATATCGGTTGGTATGGGTCTTTTCCTATACACAGTGTGACCAATAGTGTTATCAGGATTTCGGATGACTAAAACATCTAGGAAAGCTAAAGAATTATTTGCCTCTAACTCCATTGTGAATTGTATTTTAGAGTTTATGGAGTTAAGGTGGTCTAAAAATGCAGTTACTTTTACCATCTGACAAAGTAACTGCATTTTTTAGACCACCTTAACTCCATAAACTTAAAATACAATTCACAATGGAGTTAGAGGCAAATAATTCTTTAGCTTTCCTAGATGTTTTAGTCATCCGAAATCCTGATAACACTATTGGTCACACTGTGTATAGGAAAAGACCCATACCAACCGATATCTAAATGGTGAATCTCACCATCATCCTTCACAGTTAGCTACCGTGGGTAAATCTTTGTTTCAGAGAGCACGAGGGATCTGTGACAGAAAACATCTAGCCGCGGAGCTTCAGCACGTCAAGCAAGTATTGCAAGACAACAAGCTTCGGGTCCCGCGCCTACGTCACAGTGAACGAGTGAAGCCGGCAACAGTCGAGCGCGCACCTGCTCTACTACCATATGTTGGAGGAGTCACGGACAAGATTGGCTACATCTTGAAGCGAGCGTCCATTAAGACATACTACAAGCCGCTGAAGAAGATTAGTCAATTTTTACCATCCATCAAATGTAATAATTCTCTACAAGATGCAGGTGTGTACAAGCTAGATTGTGAATGTGGTCTCTCTTACATAGGTCAAACAAAGAGATCTATAAAAACCCGCGTGAAGGAACATATAGCTGATGTGAAGCACCGACGCTCCGGGAAGTCTGCAGTCTGCGAACATGTTCAAGATCGTCCCCACCATTACATTAGATTTGATAAACCACAAATTCTCGCAAAAGAACACCGATTCCTACCAAGGATGATACGCGAGGCTATTGAAATTAAAAAACATCCAAATTTCAATAGAGAAGATGGTTGGGTGCTACCATCTGTTTGGGATCCTATAATCAACAAAATTAAACCCAAACCCAAGCATACCACTGCAAGACTTCATGATACTATAAGCTCGTTTTGCGTAAATCGGACCAAAAATTAATATTAAAAAAACTGAAGGTAGCCGGACTAACTATGACATTGGGACGTCAAACATCTCAGTCCCCCCCGCGTGACCATGGGCGCTGTAAAGCACCCGAAACGTCGGGATAATAATAAAAAATAAATTAAAGATATTAAACGCGATAAAATCCGTAAATAATAGTTTTATTCAATCTTGTAGGTAGATGACATAATCCTGTTGCTGTAGGAATTTTCGGATTTTTGATCAAAAAATGTGACAACTAGTTTACACAGTCTACTCTTGATGTTAACTTAACACTACCCAAATAATTCTGAAGAGACTATCTACTATTGTTACCTTCTTTATTTAATTTTTAAAAGCAGTTTTACACCCCACTCTTTTGCTAATCTCTGGACTTGCTCAGCAAATCATGGAATGAATTTTGATTTCTTATTTCGCTCAGTCTGTACAAAAGATTATTTAGTAAAATGTTAGCTTAATGTTCGTTAAAAAGTCATTATTTTCAAGCATTATAAAATTGTAGCTCTTTAATACGCGTTTCCAAGTATCCACCCTAGGTTAGTGTTGTTTGGGTGGATAAATGGAATAATCCTATTTTTTCCAAATTATCTAGTTTGTAGTTTTTTTGTTTGTGATCCTACAACCTAATCATATACAACTGACATGACATTTGCTCCATCATACACCTTACACCTTGCCCTCTACATTTGGACAAATCAATTCCATATTCTTTTATGGTATTTAAATTACAGTTTTAAGTCCTGCACTACAATCAGATACTGCTATTAACACCAAAAAGAACTCGCAGATTTTTATTTCTTTAGGTTCATTATCATAATTTTCTGTAATCGAGATGTATTGAAAAACTACAGAAAATTGGTCAGTTTTTAACAGGTCTTCTTTAGGCACGTTGGGCACTATTTGATGATATGATCTTTTTCTCGGGAAAAACGGCCGAAGAGTTTAGTGAGAGTGTGGATAACATTTTACGAATTTTTGCTTACACACATTCTGGGCCCCTGTAGCCCGGGGGCCCCGTATCATTGATACGGCTGATACGGCGGTAGCTACGCCCCTGGAGTGGAGTAACATAAAATTAGAGAGTTAGGTAGTTATTGTAAACTACAATGTCAAACTTCTATGAATAATATCATGTAAGCATAGTTGCAGGCATTTTCTAGTAATAATTATATCAAAAACTTATAATTTATTAACATAGATCTGTTATTTTAATTACCTGTGAATACTTCTCACATTTTTATTCAAGTTCTGATATATATTTAGATCCACACCCAAAACATTTATTTGCAGTCGACCAAATACTTGTTTCTTGAGGGAAATCCAACCAGTGGGCTACAGCTTCCATGTAGACACATGAGTAAATCCAATGATAGTTATAGAGTTGGGTCCAGATGTACATCCAGCTCTAAAGACTTCTAGAGCTTACATCAAGTCCTGTGTTCTTTGGAATCGTAAAGATCTGGCTATATAAACATGATCTGGACTGCAATGTAGGACTTGTGTTGCAGTTGCAAAGTGAGGAAGTGAAATGTATTAAGGCTTAATTTCGACCTAGTAAATATTGTTTTAAAATTGATTGAATACTGTAGATTTTTGACTGTCTCGATGATCTAGTAGTCGTAAACACAACAGCTGATCGTAAGGTCCCAGGTTCGAATCCCGGATTAGGCCAATGAGAAATCAGTTATTGAGTTTTATGTCAAGAAATTTTTGGTAACAGCCTGGAGTCAGGAAGTTAGTGCATCGACTGTGTGTGCATCGGTCCATCGAAAAACACATAAAGCTGTTGGTGCTGTGTCTGGTCTCTCTGAATGTGTCAGTTTGTCATCCTATAGTACTATGAGGGTGAGAGAATAGAGAGTGCTTCTGTACTTGTGCATACACTCAGGCACTATAATCCTTACCTGCAAGAATGGACATAGACTAGCCGCATGGACCGATAATCTATCAATAACGTGAAGAATGCGTGTTCATGGAATCGTATCCATGTGGATGTTACCATCTCTAGTCTTTGCCTTTAAGGACACATATACCCGCTTAATGTTGTTTTGACAGCTGCCAACACCCATTTTTAGCTAACTTCAAAAAACGGAGGAGGTTCTCAATTCAACTTGTAAGTTATGCAATACCTTCGTTAATGGTGAACCGATCATAATGATTCTTATTTATTAAATAGTATAACTTCAGGGGTGGTTCAACATAAACCTTAATAACAAATTGCACCTCTAAAGATGAAAAATAGGGGATGAAGTTTTTAATTTAATTATTTATGTTTTATTAGACTACATTCAAGCTTGATATACTTTAGTCAACTATAAAGGGTCTGGAATACGACTTAATAACAAGTAAAAGCTGACTTTAAGAAAATAAAGAGAATAAAATATTGTTAACAAACTTCAAAAGTCAGGGCTGCTCACTATGTCTTAGCATTAATAAAATAATTATTACTTTTAGTCATTTGGAGTCAGCTTTTATTTTTTTATTAAAAGCGTAGTTTACCTTAATCAGATATGATTTTGGTCATTTTTTTGATTGCTAAAATATTTTGATGTGATCCATTAATTTAACCGTTTAAATTACATAAGCTTTCTAAATGATGTTTGATCACTGTATTTCATAAATATACTAGGGCATTCATTATTTTATATGTGGCCACACTGCAGCTATATTAGTTGTAGCACGAATGGCTCTGCTCGACCGGGGTAGGACACTCTCACAGAATACCAGCGTAAAATAGCAGTTTAAGGTGTTTCATATGGTTAGTGCAGAGAACTGGATACCAGTTTTACCGGAATTGAGGCATTCCATCTTAATCATCAGGAGTGACAACCAATCTGCTTTTTTGGGAAAAAATGGTCACAACACCCACATACCATCAAGTGGATTGTGTGCTTGGTTGTCGCCCTTATTCTATTTAAAAATAATCATAAATATGTTTTTTTCCTCACGTAATTCCAAAGACCATCAAGTTAGTTATATGTGTATATTAAGGTTCAGTTTACTAATTTACACACTTTTTTGGTTGACTGCTTATAAATCGAATTGAGTATGGAAATTTCAAAGAGGCTTTCTCGTGCTAATTTATTACTTTAAGTGAAGCAATTTTCTACTAGTTAATATCGCAGTGAGTAAAGATGCCACTTAGGATGAGAAATGGATGTATCATTCCACACACACACATAGCAAATGTACAATCATGTCCCATATAGCTAAGCTTCTTTGATAAGGTCCTTAACATCGCAAATATTTTATTATCCTGTGCAGGGCTCATTGTGCCCTATTATTTAGACTTAGATTTGTGCAGCTGACTGTCGTATCTTTATTCATAAAGAAATAATTTATTACCCATGCTTATATTTTCAGATAGAGCAGAATTGGCAAAGGTATCTGGTTGTATAAATGAAATGATTGACTTATTAATTTGCGACTCCAATGGGCTTCCTAGCCCTGAAGCAATTCAACTTGTCTTCAAGTGCCTTCTTCCAAAACTTGTTGCAGCTTCAATTGATAGTCGGAATGCTAATGTAAGTGATTTTAATAAATAATTATACTAATTCTTGACTTTGTATTTGATATTACACATAATTCGATAATTATACCTACTAATACTTGTTAGAGTCCACTTCACAAAACCTAAAATCGATTTGGTTTGAAGTTTTATGAGGAATAGATCATAGTTTTGTTTTTGTAGTCCTAAAATATGTAAAAGTAAGGTAAAGTTTACAGCCCATTATATATATATATATATATATATATATATATATATATATATATATATATATATATATATATATATATACAACTGCAGATTACAGGCTCATTTCTGGGAGGTTATTTTATTTATTTAACTTCATATGCACATTAGATGTATATAGGCGGACTTAATGCATGAGGCATTATCTACCAGTCACCCTTAGAGTAGTGCAGAGATAAAAGAGGTAGGTAGGTGTAATAAGAAGTATGTACAGAAATTTATATTCACACATATATAAACTCATACATATACAACATATAACATAATTAACGCACTTTGAGAAAGTAGTTTGTTCAGAATCGTTTACTGAATCGATTCCTATCGTTTTTAATATAGGTAATTTTTTATCCCAAAAATAATTAATTAATTAAAATAATTAAATTATAAATTAATTAAAATAATAAATTAATTACTACGTAAATTACAGTCACACTAAATCTGTACAGTCAAAACAAACTGAAATGGACCGTAACTTAAGACAACAAGACTTATAAGAGTGCAGTTTTATTTGTATTATTAATAATTCTGTCATTCAATAAAAATAAAGAAAAATGAACTTTATTTTTCAAGCACGTTAAAGTCTTTGCGTTCGTGGATTTGTACTGTGACCACAACATTCTTCCGGAATTAGTATAACTAATTTGATAAATAATCGGTGCATAAATATGTTTAACTAAAAATATTTATGCACCGATTCAGTGTATGTATTATGATTATAACATAATATACTAATTGGGGGTCTGAGGGTGTGCGTTAATTACGTTACATATTGTATATATAGACATAATGCACGTATATATACATAAAATAAAATACATATATATATATATATATATATATATATATAAAAAAAAAACACTGCTAACTACGAACGCTAAGTTGATTCCGACATTTTATTAATGAGAAGTTCTCGCACTTTGAACTTAACAAAATCCGGTTTCTCCGATTTTCGTGTTAATGCAGATTGAACAAAGAACGATGATTGGACAAAGTTAGTACTAAAAGGGGGACACTGAAGCAAAAGGCTATTAGTAGAATGGAGAACTCTATCATGGTTGGGGCTAAGATATTGAAAATGAGGAGTTAAATAAGATGGAGGATTAGGTGACATCAAAATAGAGTAAAGGGTAGTGAGTGCACATACTATGGCACTGACGAATGGGTAACCAGTTAAATTGAGAGCGATAAGTAGACACATGATCATACTTTCGAAGATTAAAAATGAATCGAATGCAGTTATTAAGAAGACTGTCATATTTATATTACACACATTACCATAGTCAAAAATGGGAAGAATTAAGGTCTGCACAATAATCGTCTTAGTCCTGGACGAGAGAAAGTTCTTCAGGCGGAAGAGAGAACGCAAAATATCTGTGACTTTCTGACAAACATTTGCCACTTGAGTTTGCCAGCTCAAGGTGGAGTCAATGTGTAGGCCAAGGTCTTTCACGGTATTACTCAGTTCTAAAATAAAACCGTTAAAAATAATCTGAGGTAAAGCTGTGGGATCCGGTTTCTTTATCATTCGTTGGCTACCTATTATAATAGCCTGACATTTGGATGGGTTGACTTTAAGGCCAAACTTGTCAGACCAGTTCTCTACTACTTATAGTCTAGGTTCCGGTAGGTAGGTAGGTATAGGTAGGTTTTGGGGCAAGGAAATGACCGCCGCGCTGCCCCAATACGTGTTGGCGGGTTGGTTTCACATGTGTTCGAAATATTTTTTTTATTTCTCAGATCCTTCACCACCGAGCACGTGCTTAATCAGCACTTAAAATTTGCAATTAACAATTTCAAATGTTTGTACATACTGTGAAATTTATAGCGAACGAAAAAAGATATATGTAGTAAAGAATAAATGAGCAAAAAATGTAAAGTGCAATAAGTAGCTTTTCAGACCACTCTATTAAAATCAATAGAATCAGGCGTTATGGAGATCCATTATATAAAGATGTTATAAATTAGTTAAGCTTCGCGTAATAAAATAAAATATGTGCTTTACGTGGTTTAAAAAGTACCCCTTGCCCTCCCTTAATTGCATGCACTATCCCCGTCACCACTAATGCTAGCACCACCAATCCTCAAACTTCTACACTAGGAAAGATACAACCACGTTGATAAAGATACACACGTGTTTCGTCTCTAAACGAGGCATCCTCAGGTGAAAAAGACTCCGCGGTTGCAGACCGCTCAAAATTTCTCTAATATACATAAATACATTGGTGTAATATTTGAGAAATGTTTAATAGTCTAGGATCAGGATGAATAATAATATTTTAAGCATTGAACTATTATGGTTTAGCAAGTTTTAACTATAGATACAGCAGATTGCGTTGGTTATACATATGCATATTCAATTTATTCGTAATTAAAAGTAGAGCTTGTTGCTTTCGGCTATAAACTTCGTGTTTTAAAGTCTGAATAATAATTAGAATTCATATAATTTATGTTAGTTTTAGGATTAACATATATTATCAATAGGCTAGGGTGCGGTTGAAAAATTCGTAGCGAATATTCTCATCCCAAGGAGTTATTTTCCACGCCCTACCCCATATTTTCCTCGTCTTTCCACACTAGTATAAGGAGATTATATAAGGAGATGTCTACCAGTGTGTAATAAATAAATAAAATGTTTACTTTTATTTTCAAAAACTATGCGCTGTCACATCACCAATTTAAAGGGGGTTCATGAAATTGCTTCTTCCCCCACGCTTCTCTAAATCGATTTTAGGTTTTGTATCAATATTCAATAGAGTCAATAAAATCGATTTTAAGTTTTGTATCATCATTCTAAATGAATGCTGATACAGTTGCAATATACTGGATGACCTTTTTTACCATTTGGAATAAGTAGGGAGTAACATGTGAACGGAGTAGAAGCCTATGGCACTGATATTTTACAAAAAATAAAAACAAAAATTTTGAGTTATATAAATAAATAAATTAAAATCTAGCGAAATTCAAATCATATCCACCATAGCCTTAGCCCGTGATCCTGCGAAATGACAAGGTCAAAGATGCCTACTAAATTTATTGTTTTATTGCCGTTTGTAAAGTATCACATATCCACCCATATGATTTGAATTTCGATAGATCTTTATTAATTAATTTATTTAATTCAAATCTTTTGGTTTTTGTAAAATATCAGTGCCCCATAGGCTTCTACTTCGTTCCTTCAGCTACTGCTTGCAAAACCTTTTTCTTTCTGTGTGTGCACTAACTTCCATCTAAAATTTTTGTTACCAAAGATGGTAATATTTTAATTAAAAGTATTTTTTTTAGAATATTGTGAGGGCATCCTATGTTACGTATTCAGGATTACTACTTGGTAAATATGGCAGAGCTGCTCTATCAAGTTACATCATACTACTGCAACATCTTTGTTATACGCTCGATGGATTGGTACGTTATGCATTCGAATATAGTAAGCGGTGTATTGGCGGCGTAAAGGAATCCATCATTCTATTTCGTCCCGTGGGTGTTTGTAAGAAGCGACTTCCTAAAGTGCCAGAAAAATCTGATGTCTTCCGGTAGATAGCGGTCTAACCACCCCATTTACGACAGGACGACTTAAAATATTCAGGCGACAGTGGCAGCGTCAAAGTTGCGGTGCGAGACGTCTGGTAATACGATCATTAATCCGCCAGCCAAGTGTGAACAGAAAAGGCTTATGTCCATGTGACTTGTGGACTTTAACAGTCTGAATAAGAAGGTTTTGTGTTACATTTTTATATAGAGTAAAGCTGACAAATGATAACAGTGATTGCTTGTTGTCTGTGTCCTCCAGATTTCATTTTATGTTAATTGTATGCTAAAATATAAAGTATTTGTCAAAAGCAAATATAAATGTTGAAATAAACCAGAAGATTTAACTCTTCTCTTCTCTTTTAACGTCTTTTAAAGCACTTTATGAAAATTCAAATAGTCAAAGAGGTTTAGCATATTTAACTATTCTATTGTTAATCTTCCGTCATAAACTGATCTTGCTATATTTTATTTTGCAGGAACGTGCAGAAATCCGTACAACCCGTATGTCGTTAGTAGTTGGTCTTATGAGTCTTCTACCTAAAAAATCATACAAGGATACAATAAAATGGCTTCTGAAATTGTCTACAACGGCCAAAGTCTCACACAGGCAGATTGCTTTAGTAAGTCACACCCCTTTATTTGCATGTGAGTGCGTGCGTGTGTGTGTACATGTGTGCATGTGTGTCTCAATCACTAGTGGAGTGACACCTATAAAATTGTTCTGTTAATTGTATTTTTAAGTGCTTGGTGCTAAGTTTTAATTACACTCATGATGAATACCATGCGCTCGCTCAGCACTGGAACAATGCGGCAGAGTAATTGCTCCATTCGAACGTATCACCTGCACGTTCCTCTTTGCATGGCAAGTCTTGGGCCTCGGGGCGTCCTCCATTATCCGGAATCTCCTCGCGGTGCACAACTATATAACGGTCCTGGGAGTCAGTCATGGCATTGTAGGTATATAGCGGTATATATTGTAGGTATAAACTAACGGGAATGTTTCTCCGTTAGCCATTTGTTTGGGTTCATGTTCATTGATTTATATAACCCTAGATCAGTAATAACCGCGCCAAAGCGTTGCCACTGCACATATGGCCACAGCCATATGCCTAGCTAACGTGAGTTCATTGTTCAATGTGACGCCGACAGAGTTGAGTCGCGACAAAAATGCGTAAATGTGTAGTGAAAGAATATTCAAGGTCACAAAAACGTAATAAATCAAGCGGCATCACTTTCAACACATAATTTTTAGTTCTTGTTTTCATATAAACGTAAAAAACCTCAAATAATTAAATAAAATTATCGAATATTGCTATTTAGGTTCAATGTTGCCACTTTTCCGCATTTGTGATTATCCTACATTAATGGGAGACTAATAATTAATGGAGTAAGTTAATTTGTTACCTCTGATTTTAAATATTTTGGAAATTATAGTAAAAACTACGTTTTAACTTTCATACAAAATAATTAATTATTCTTATTTTAGTTTATTCATGAATTATCTATTAAATATATTTTATTACCTATTTTATATTAATAATTTTATATTATTTATAATTTAATATAAATTTTATATTAATTGCATATTTTATTAGATACCTATTTTATATTGTTCGATTTATTAGAACCATAAAAATACGTTTTATTTCATCATTATATTTACTTCTATTCATCTGATAAGCTTTGTATCCCTTTTTTTCTAAGGGGACGTAATAAAGATTTTAAAATAAAATATACTTTTTTAATATAAAAACAATTAACTGCAGCTTAAAAAAACTCATTTTTATTGCGTATTTTAGGTAAAATTTCGTATAGTAAGCCACACCAACCCGCCATTGCATGTTTGTGTGTCTATCTTTATCTAATCTTACGACAATGATATTGTTTTCGCAACTTGTGTAAGTGAGATAGATATATGTTTACTTAAAATTGTTATTAGTTTCAAAGCTACGTCGTCGCGTTTGGATAGTGGTTACACTTTTTTCGACGCGCGGTAATGTGGTTTGCTCCTCTAGTGTTATATAACTCAATGTTCATGTTATATTGGTTAGTCGATCCGTGCCATTGAGGGCTGTTTTTCGACTCTCTAATCTATATAGAGAAGAGTTTTCTTGGTAGAGGTCGCCCGTCCGGAGGATGGGTATGTAGCGGCGCTAGGTTCTTGAGATGTGAGTGTGGCCTGTTGTCGGTGCGGTTGAACATACCACACGCCAGCCGGACCACAAACTCTTGAATGGGTTCGATCTTCAGGTTGTCATTCTATACCTAATGACCTGCACCGACGATGGTCTTATATAAAGTTTGTAGATCTTAAGCTTTGTTTTGATTGGAAGCTTGGATGCCAGGACGAGATGGAGCATTGCGCGTGCATATCTGGCGTTGCGGACCACGAGATCGACGTGCACGGCTATGCGCAGGATCCTGTCGATCCGGCACCCAAGATAGGTCACGGCCTTCTCGTACGCGATCTTCTGGCCTCTAAGCGTCAGTGGGGATGGTAGTTTTCTGAGGCAGTGAGTGAGCGGTCGTCTTAACAACGTTGATGGCCATTTCAGATGCGCTCCCAGACCTTTCCTCTGCGGGCCTGGGACCTTCAAGAAAAAAGCCTATTACTTTTTAAAAGGCCGGCAACGCATCTGCAGCCCCCCTGGTTTTGCAGCTGTTCATGGGCGGCGGTAAGCACTTACGGGTGAGCTGTATGCTCGTTTGCCTCCTCTCCTATAAAAAACCTGCGCCCATATGAAACTTTTTTCGTGGGATTTGAAACCTTTGTATTGCTTTTATATATATGTATATATACAGGATGTTAGTGTAAACACCGTTATCCTTGAAACCAGTGGTTTGGTTTCACTTATAGAACGTAAATTCAATGAAAAATAACATTTTTTTTTAGTAAAATCTCACTTTTTCCTTAATTCCTCAATTTTTGCCTGTCCCAAGCCAGGATGAAAGTATGAAGTAAATGTTATATCACAAGTTATGTGTACCTATTGTGTTTCTATATTATATAGGAATGTTGTCATGTCACTCCATCTAGTGGGGGTTCGCCCTACACTACGCCTACCGGTACGAGGCTGCCACTCGAGAACCTTTCTTCCCCATCGGTTATCGATTCTTCCAGCTATATGGCCGGCCCATTGCCACTTCAGCTTACTAATCAGATGCCTGATGCCTGATGATTGATGTTAATACCGTATCCTTTCCAGTCCAGTAGCTTGAAAACTTCTTCCAATGAGCGGTGAAGAGTTTCGGCTGTCTTACACCTCTCTACAGTTGGATAGGTTTCGAACTCTGGTTCTGTACTCGGAGCCAACTGTAAAAACCCAAACCCCAACCCCAAAAATAGTCCACATACGCCAGGCAAAGTGGCAGATTGTACTCTTCAGTCTTCTGTACTATCTGCCGCAAGGGAGGCTGGAAGTCGTCGAGTCTGCGTGCGAGACGATTCGTAATGACTCTCGAAAACAGCACGTAGACGCGGCTCAGAAGGGAAATCGGTCTGTAGTTCTTCAAGAGAGCATTGTCACCTTTCTTAAAGAACAAGACCACCGCACTTCTGCTCCACGCCTCTGGAGTAGTGCCACCATGGAGGACGGAATTGAAGAGCTTCTGAAGAACTTCAAGTACCGGTGTTCCACCCGCTTTCAGGAGCTCCGCTGTAATTCCATACTCGCCTGCGGCCCTGCCGTTTTTAAGGTGCTGGTGAGCCATTCTAATCTCGCTCAGACTGACGTCCGGGATATCATCGGAATAGTGTCTGATAAGACTTGCTCTTGGATAGTTACGCACACTTGCGTGTGGCTCCAACGATGATGTGTACAGCTGCCCATAGAACCTCTCAATCTCACTCAAAATCTCAGGTGTCCCGGAAACGATGCTGCCACACTCGATCTTCAGCTTTGACAGTTGGCTCTTTCTGGCAGACAGATCTCTGGCAAAGACTTTGGAGCCCTGGTTCCGCGATCGCTTCTTTAATACGAGCAGTATTAAAGTAGCGTAAGTCTCGCCGCATGCATTTGGAGATCTGTCTGTACAGTTGGCCGCCAGCCTGTATGCTGTCAAATCTGTTGACGATTGCAGCCTCATCTCCCGTCTAACAGCCATGAGATTAAGAGTGTGATCGGAGAGTTTTTGTGTTCTTCTGCGGCGGGTCTTGCAGAACTTAGCTCCGACCGCATGGACAGTTTCCACGAGCTTGTCATTCATATCTTCCACTGCATTGCAATCTTCTAGGCACTGAAAGCGGTTACGTAACTCGAGCTGAAAGGTTTCGGGATTCTGGATTAACAGAGGGGGGGGGGAGGACTACTATTCTATAACAAAATGAAAACTTCTAAAGTATAATAAATAATATTTGCCGTTTTTAAGCTGTGATGAACAGTACCCAAGGTAACCAGTTTTAGCTGAAAGAAATAGTCACATGGCATTAAAAGTGTACTCTTAGCTCATGTGTACGCTTAGCTTAAATGTCCGATGGGTGTAATACGACTAGTTCATCGCGAGGGATAAGAACACATTGTTGGCGTGTTACAAATGAGTTTGTGACTTGTGACAGGTTGTGATATGAGCGGGCCGCCATTGAAATATAAGTGATGGTGATACTCTAGCCACTCATTGGTAGCTTTGTCATAAAAAATAATTCAAAATACTTATTGCAGGAAATATTAAGTAAGCTTTTAACTAATGAACCAGAAGAGTTAAAGTCAAGGGATATGCCTATAGAAAAACAAAATGGACAAGAATCAGGTACTTTCCAACTTGTATTTTTTATGTAGGTGTGCTTAATTTTTAGCTTTGACCCTTTTTACTTTTTACTGGAAACGAGGCATTCCATCTTAGTTCTCACGGGTGACAACGCATCTGCAATTTGATTTGTAATCGAGGATAGATGTAGATGTCTATAGGCCGCAGCAACCACTTACCATCAGGTGGACTGTGTGCTCGATTGTCACCCTATCCTATATAAAAAAACTTTTGTTTAAATGTAAAAGCTGACTTAAAAAATTAAAAAAAGAATAAAATAACTTCCACATATTGATTTCAGATGTTGGTGTTGCAGAAACTATTCTGTGCAAATTGTTAACTACAGAAATGTTTTAAATGCAGGATTTTACTTTATAATGAACGTTATTTTTTTCTCTTACGAGCGGACTAAGAATATAAAAAAATTAGGGTAACGACGAAGTATAATGTCTTTCAAATAGTGAACCACGAAGGTTAGAGAACAGGAGAACGATAACTACGTACTAAAGCATAGCCCGCCCTAGATAGACTATCGATGAGTAGTGACTGCAAAGTTAGCTGTTTACGAGTACAAGCGGATGAAGTTAGTTGAATAATGTACAATTTTCTTCGCGGCATTGCTGAGAAAATTTTCATGCTCCGTAATTTTGTAATTTTTGACCATTAAAAAATGGAGAAATTTTATTGTGCGTGGATGTGCAGGTGGTTGAGCATCTGATCGGAAAAATAGACTGAATATGACTTTTATTGACCGAACTTAGCGATCGCAGCGCCTCACTTATGGTGTCCATATTTCTGGGACACTATTTTCTACGGCGATCGTTCTCCTGTTCTCTAACCTCCATGTAGTGAACATTATAATTTCTTCCTCTGTTTTTCCACCCTTGGGGATGAAATTTTTTCTTCACATTTATATTGGCTTGCCCCTGAAGTATCCCTATCCTGTGCCTATTTTATAAAAATGGCGTCGTTAGCGGGGGGCTGTACAGTCGTAGTAGTAAAATAATCATTTTAAACCATATCGTCTGTTTCTGAGAAATCAGTGACCTACATAAAAAAATACGCGTCAAATAAAGAATTTTCGTTTTTTTTTACTCGATTGCACACAGATTACTAACAAATGCAAGAACACCAAATAGTTTGTGGTATCATTGGTTTATTAATATGTTTTAGAATCACCACCTTCCAGCGGGGTGCATGATACACTAACCCACGATAACGTTCAAGAATCCGATGTGACGGAGGAAGACCAAACTGCATCAAATGATAATGATTCCACAGAAGACGAAAACGGTCAAGATCTGCCAATAGAAATAAGAAATGTTGGTAAAATATACACAATAGCATGCTTGTCTCATTACTCGGTATCATAACGTTGTCCTTTCTTGTTTCGACCACCAACGCTCACTTACTAACCGTTAGCAACTGTTAGTAAGTCTCAGTTAGTAAGCACTGCAGTGCCTTTATATACCTATGTTACGAACTTAGGGTACGTGACAATAAAAGCTGCCGATTGAATTAAGTACCAAAATTAACACTTAAAGTGTTCGGTAATTAAAGTGTTACACTTTAGTTACCGAACACCAATTAAAACTTTAAAGACACTAATAATTAATCACACTGATTCACTTTATTTCGCTCCGAAGCTTCGCTTGTATCACCAAATTCAATACTGCCCCGGTGGCGGGCTTCAACGCCTTTATATACGCCTTTAAATACCGGCCCCCGATCGACCAGGTGTAGAAAGTTCGAGTGTGGAGCTTTCCAAAAAGCTTAGTTCTTCTATTCGATACATGGCGCTGTTGGTTTAAATTTCAGTCATGGCATTTTCTGGAAAGCTCTCCTCGCTCTGTTACCCGACACTAGGTGGCGCTAGTGCCAGGTACCAGACATCAACTTAGGCGCTCAACACCTATATAGCAGCTGTCATTTGTCATCACTGTTCGGTGATGTCAAATTTGAATCAAACATATTTTTAGTTCATAAAAGATAGCTTGATCTCTGCGACAGCTGTCAGTAAAATCACGCCTATGAAGTCCTGAATTGCTTAGTAGTACAGACAGTACCCGTCAATGTCATACTTTATGGGCATGCACTAATTAGGTTGGCATGCCCATAAAGTATGTCATTGACGGGTACTGTCTGTACTACTAAGAAATTCAGGACTTCATAGGCGTGATTTTTACCGACAGCTGTCGCTATCTTTTATGAACTATATTACAGTTCTAAGTCTATAAATTATAAAGTATCGTAAGTAAGCGCTATAAAGTAGCCCTTTACTTTGATTTCCTTAATTGCGACATTCATGTGGTTACTGATCACTAATATTTAATATATATAGTTTGATTATTTGAGTTCGTTACAGCATTATGCCTTATTATCCTACCATAGTAAAATAAGGTCTACTAGCAAGGTTTTTAAAAATATTTAATAACATATCTTTATGTCAAATCTTACAATTTTTCGTTCATAATTTATAGAAATTTTACTAAACTAATGATTTTTATTTTGATTTCATGTACAAGTTTTTCTAAATTAAATCTGAGATTAAGAGATAATGTAACATTACAAAAATCTGAGAAGATATTAGTCTTTGGAATGTGGGTTCAACACCTTCGAAAATATTTTTGTAAATTATTATAATTAGTTATTCGGTAAATTCCCTATACACTTTATTATGTATCCTTTTAAACAGAAAAGTAAAAAAAAAAGTAAAGTTACAGCCTATATACGTCCCACTGCTAGGCTCAGGCCTCCCCCTCATTTCTGAGAGGGTTTAGGGCAAGGAAGTGTCCGCCGCGCTGGCCAAATGCGTGTTGACGAACTTCACATGTCTTCGAAATATTTTTTTTCTTATTCCTCAGACATGCAGGTTTCCTCACGATGTTTTTCCTTCACCGCCGAGCACGTGGTAAATCAGCAATTAAAATTGCAATTAACAATTTCATTGGTGCCGGCGGGGATCGAACCCGGGTTACTCGCGTTCTGTTATATTTACAGCGAGCGTTAACCACTGAGCTACCACGGCTCTTAAATGGCTTTAAACAGAAAGATAACACAGAAATGCTATATTGCAATAATAACAACCAAGCATACATAAGAAAAACAACAGTACACAGTAGTAGTAGGTTGCAAATATAAATACCGTAATAAGCATACTGACTTATCGCGCATATTGTATCATGTGTATCGTGCATGAAAGATATTAATTTGTACATTTCAAATCCAATCGTATATTAATGGTTTACGCTAAACGAGCAGCCGACACTCAACATACGACAAACAGCAGCATTTTGCCCTTGGATTATGCTGCTGTTTTACCCCGGAATTTTGTAGGAGCGAGGTCCTTCCCCGGTCGAGCTGACCCGTCACCGATGGGTTCCGTCCTTAGAATATACATAAGCAAGCTATAGAGCGCGCTTTTTGCCAAACATAAGCAGGTGTTCTATAAATATTGATACACAGATGTAGTTATGCGTCAAAATTAATGCCTTTGCGTTATTGTTCCCAGTTCTCACTTCTTAGTTTAATATAGGCAAGTATTTAGTAAATAATAAGTAGGTGCGTAATTATAAGGTATGTTTTAGAAGATTAATAAAATAATGGTACAAATTTATAAAACGATGTTTAATAATCAAACACAAAAATATAATTAAGTTACTGCTTCTTAAATAGGGATAATTTAGTTAGTAGGGTTAAGTTATATAATTGTTATTTTGTTTTCTTGATCACAGTTTCATATATGTACAAGATGTTTCATTCTAATTTCAATATATTTTTGAATGATCCATTAGTTTTGACAAAAACGTGAATATTTACACGTAATTACGAAGGTGCCTACATAAATTACTGCCAAAAATAGTGTTTTAATTGCTTTGAAATAAGTGTGATCTTAATTCAAATTTGAGCTCTGGTATATTGCACCTCCCACCAGCTTTCGCAGTCCACTATTTGTTTCAAAAAAAAAATTAAACAAACTAAACTCCTGATTTGGGGCTCCCAGTTGGGCCTTTTTATTTCTACCACTCATTTATTTGCCAAATCACGGCCTTTCGGAAATCTTAAATTAGAAAAGTATCAACTTACATTATAAAAATCTACTGAAAAGTTTTATTTTAAACATTAATTTATATGGCTTTGTACTACATACCTATATTTTAATTTCTTATACTATGATTATATTATACTACGAAAGAAATCATGTTATTATAAAATATTCGCGTACAACTTGGTACAGCATCTAGCTCTAATTCAGGGAAAACCTAAAGCCCTAGTACGAGTGCAACTTTGACACCCTGATTAATTTAATTAAAATCAGTGTTTTCTTATCAAAATGTTTCTGATAGAAAAATATTACTTTTCTAAATTTGCTTCCGTGAATAGTTTTTACAGCTTTTTACTGCACATTTCAACATGGAAACTTAAAATTCAAGTAAATACCGGCGAGAGAAACAATCTATGATATGAATCTGTGACGCCATTGCAATTTCAAGACTGTTCATAGCCATGTTTACTGTTCATACTCTGTAACCCCCGCTCTGTAACTTGCTTATGCTTATCAATGGTTTGAGGCCATTGTTCTCGGGTATCGAACCCAAAACCCTGTGGCCTAACCATGTTTTGGTTCCTTCGCTCCGGATACGAAGGGCAACCTGGTCACCATAACCATTTTGTGACCATCCGTTTCCGGATTCGAACTCAGGACTCCGCACCAGTATTAATAAGAAAAGTGGAATAATTTATATTACAAATAAAAAATATATAATACAAATAAACGTGTATTATATTACATTTTGCGGAGAATTTTTTTAAAATTAGCCAAAATCCTTACTTTAAAACTGATGTTCGTTTTTATTTCATGTTTATGAAATTTCATTTAGACAGTTAAACGAACAGAATAGAATAGAATTATCCGTAGATTCAGCTATTCTATTTACCGTCCGGAGTGACTGACTAATCAACCACCGCACAGCCTAAACTGTTTGATTTAACTCTTTAATTGCAATTTGTTTCTTCAATTTGTTTTACTCTTAAAGTCCCGACCCATCATGAATGTCAGCTGACCGGGGAAGGACGCTGGAGCCATAATATGTCTGCAGCATGGCTCCACCACGTCGGTTCTTTATTGTTTAATAATATTATTATTATTACACATTATACATTTTATACTTTCTATTGTAAAATGTAGGCAGAGCAGGAACTGACAGAAGAAGAGATCGCGAACGTTTTACGGAAGCGTGCACATACAGCTCCGCACGCAGAGATCGTACGTGCAGTGTACGAGCGGGTGAACGACGCGTCGAGTGCCTTGCGAATGCGCGCGCTTGCTATACTTACCGAATGTCTTGAAAGCACGCATGCCCCATTGCAGGAAGCCATTAAGGTGAGTAATAAACTGACTCCTTGCTATTGTTGATATAATATTAACTAATCCCATTAAAGGAATAAAAAATGATCTTTTGTTGGATCATTTTGTTGCCGTCATAATTTCTTTTTGCTTTTGACTACCTCGTTGGTCTAATTGTCGTAATTTGATCATGTGGTTCCAGGTTGGGCCTGAATCGTTTATGTAGTTTTTCTGTTAAAAAAGTTTCTATACCAGCCCAGAGTCAAGAAGTTGGTGGTTTTTCACTTCCGTGCCTCGTAATTGCGTAAGTTCGAGGAAAGCATGTAAATGAGATTGAGAGAATAGAAAGTGCACCTGCTTGTCGTTTATCTCCGTTAAGTTTTCCCACGAATGTTTTTGATACGCACATTTTCCAAAATGTGAGACTTAAAACTTTTAAAGACGCTCTTTTAAAGGCAAAACCTGTTAGGTTATTAATTACATAATTGTCAAAAAAAATCATGTTTCATAAAATAATTTTTTTTAATATATGAGCAACACTCTACCACGTATCAAGTTCATTTCAACCATCTTTTTATGCGGACTAAACTTGGAAGGAGCACGCGGTACCTTCTCTAGACACTCTTCCGTGTGCTCTTACCGTGACTCTCTGATGCTTTACCAGTTATTGGCGGGTACCACCCTCTTGCCTATTTCTGCCGCCATACAGCAGTGTGTGCACTGCTCTATTCCAGACTAAAGAGTATAGAGAGTAAGTATAATGCCAGGTTGTGAGACATTCCATCTTAGTCCTCAGCGGTCACAACACAATTGTAGGCTTCTTGGTTTGAGATTGCTTGTAGGTGTCCGTGGGCTGTAGGCACTTACCATCAGGTGGACTCTTATTTCGGTTGTTAGTTTAATTAAAACAAACTACATTAGTTACGCTACTACTACGCACACAACTTATTCGCGTACTGAACTTTTATTTAAATTTTCATGTACTTTTAAATGTCCATATACGAGGGCGACACTGAAAGTTTTTAGAACTGGCTGGAACTTGTAAACGATTTAATAAAACAATAAGTTCAAATTTTGTAACTGGAACTCCTTGTCAATATTATTGTGTACTACCCGTACGATTAAAGAATGGGATTGAAAATGGTGTCGCCACTATTCACCTCTCGCTCGCACACTGTTGCTATCTATACTCACACCCGTCGGTAAGAACTGCAAAACAAATACATTGCGATATGCGTTTTTCGTTCGATCTATAACTTGTCATTGTAATCAATGATAACAAAATACCAAAATTAATATATTTGTATAAAATATATACATGCTGTTGAGAAATGAGTTACCATTTTCAAAATGTTTCAATTGTCTGTCTGTCCGAGCTAATCGTTGGAATGGCTTAACCGATTGCAATAAAACTTCACGAAAAAATGGAGCGTAACACTAGCAGTGATCTAGACTAAATTTTATGCGAAAAATTTAAAGACTTTATCAAAATAGAAATATTGATAAGATAAAATAAATGGTCCTTAGTGATTATCTTAATTCTGAATAACGCCACATTAATAGATCCCACCCAGACAAAGACAGAGTGGGTCGTTAGTTATAAACGTTATTTTAAAATTAATTAATATAATAGTTACTTGGGTATACAATTCTTTTCAAATATTTCCTCTATACATTATATTAGTATAAAATTTCCAACTAAACGAATAATATAACGTTATAACGATATAATATAATATAATAAATAAGAGCCGTGGTAGCTCAGTGGTTAACGCTCGCTGTAAATTTAACAGAACGCGAGTAACCCGGGTTCGATCCCCGCCGGCACCAATGAAATTGTTAATTGCAATTTTAAGTGCTGATTTACCACGTGCTCGGCGGTGAAGGAAAACATCGTGAGGAAACCTGCATGTCTGAGGAATAAGAAAAAAAAAACTATTTCGAAGACATGCGAAGTTCGTCAACACGCATTTGGGCAGCGCGGCGGACACTTCCTTGCCCTAAACCCTCTCAGAAATGAGGGGAGGCCTGAGCCCAGCAGTGGGACGTATATAGGCTGTAACTTTACTTTACTTTTTTACTTTATAACGATATACCGTTATTAGCAGGTTTTCGCTATTGGTACTGTGCATGTTGACCGTACCGGCTCGAAGAGCTTCCATTTCTAATCCCATTTTTTATGCATACGGACTGTATGTATTTTATTAATTTGTCATTTGTTTACGATTTGGCGGCAAATTGAAAATTGTCTATGTCATGCCATTGGCCTTTCACGACGAAGCCCAATCTCGTGCCACTGTTTACAACTGGTTTAATGAGTTAAAACGTGGTCGCACTAATCTCACAGATGATTTGTGTGAAGGACTGCCTTTTACGGCGATGACTGAAGATAACATCAGTGTTGTGCGGCGTATGATAGAGACTGACAAAAGAGTAACTTATCAGCAGATTCGGACAGGCTTAGGCAGCGGTATTAGTCAAGTGTACAAAATCCTCCATGAACATTTAGCGATCAGCAAGCTTTGCAAGCCCGGTGGATACCTGATAATTTGACAGGGGCCCAAAAACTCCGTCGTGTTGATAAGTGTCTTGAAATGGTTCAAAGATTTAACTGAGGTGACTCAAAAGCTGTGTTCGACATATTTACGGGTGACGAAAGCTGGTTATCATCTTTATGATCCTGAAACTTAGAGATAGTCTGCTGTCTGGGTGTTTCCATCCGAGAAGTTGCCAACCAAAGTGAAGAGAGGTCGAAGCGTGGGAAAAAAGATGGTGGCCACGTTCTTCGGAAGCACAGGTTGCAACAATTGTTTTAGAGAATCGAAAAACAGTTACTGCAGAGTGGTACACTAACAATTAACTTAATAAATTTGTCTTGGAAAAAGTTCTGGAGAAACGACCTCGCAGTAGGATCCTCCTTAACCACGACAACGCCTCGTCGCACACCGCCGAGCAAACAATCGGCTACTTAGCGACGTCAGACGTGGATTTACGGTTACGGATGTAAGGCGTGGGTCACCCGCCCTATAGCCCCGACCTCGCATCTTGCGAATTTTATTTATTTCCGAAATTAAAAGAAAAATTTCGAAGAAAATGTTTTATGGACGCCGAGGAAGCAGTGGCTGCGTTTCAAAATGCCGTCGAAGAGACCCCTAAGGACGAGTGCGCAAAGTGCTTTTCTCAGTGGTTCCATAGGATGCAGCGACATTGCTGCATCCTATATTACATGTGCATATCTTTTCAAAATAGTGTCCAAATGGAACGGAAATGAATGGAATGGAAAAAGACATAATAAAACTAATGACTTGCTAATTTGTTCAGTTTTTGATTATCTAAGAACTTTCAGTGTCACCCTCGTAATCTAAAGTTTTAGTGACATTAAAAATTGATGATAATACCTACAATAATATGTTGAATATGACCGAGCATTGTTACTGGGTGGCTCAGGACCGTGCTTTGTGACATTCGTCGGTTAGTTCAGTAGTATACTTGTAAGGCCTGTAAGGATAATGATTAATATATAAATATTAGTTTTTAAGTGTTAATTATTTTACTAACACTTATACGTAATAATACGATGCAAAATCTGAAATTGAATCATTGCTCGTGTACACAAGACATTAAGACAAGGAGTAAATAATGTAAGTGAATTTTAAAACTGAAGGAGTTGAACGGGACGGGAGAGGTGTCGCGGCTGCTTGTGGTGGCGGCGAGGTGCGCGTGTGACGAGCGAGCGGTGGTGCGGCGCGCGGCTGCCGTGCTCGTGCAGCGCCTGCTGGCTGCCGCGCCGCAAACGCCTCCCAACGACCTGGCGGTACCTTCCCACCAACTGCACGCCATCATTTGACCCTCCCGCTGCTGTGGTGGCGGCGAGGTGCGCGTGTAACGAGCGCGCGGTGGTGCGGCGCGCGGCCGCCGCGCTCGTGCAGCGCCTGCTGGCCGCCGCGCCGCAAGCGCCTCCCAACGACCTGGCGGTACCTTCCCACCAACTGCACGCCATCAATTGACCCTCCCGCTGCTGTGGCGGCGGCGCGGTGCGCGTGCGACGAGCGCGGTTTGGTGCGGCGCGCGGCCGCCGTGCTCGTGCAGCGCCTGCTGGCTGCCGCGCCGCAAACGCCGCCCAACGGCCTGGCGGTACCTCCCCACCAACTGCACGTCATCAATTGACTCTCCCGCTGCTGTGGTGGCGGCGAGGTGCGCGTGTGACGAGCGCGCGGTGGTGCGGCGCGCGGCCGCCGCGCTTCTTCAGTGCCTGCTGGCCGCCGCGCCGAAACGCCTCCCAACGACCTGGCGGTACCTACCCACCAACTGCACGCCATCAATTGACCCTCCTGCTGCTGTGGTGGCGGCGAGGTGCGCGTGTGACGAGCGCGCGGTGGTGCGGCGCGCGGCCGCCGCACTCGTTCAGCGCCTGCTGGCCGCCGCGCCGCAAACGCCTCCCAACGACCTGGCGGTACCTCCCACCAACTGCACGCCATCAATTGACCCTCCCGCTGCTGTGGTGGCGGCGAGGTGCGCGTGTGACGAGCGCGCGATGGTGCGGCGCGCGGCCGCCGCGCTCGTTCAGCGCCTGCTGGCCGTCGCGCCGCAAACGCCTCCCAACGACCTGGCGGTACTCCCCACCAACTGCACGCCATCAATTGACCCTCCCGCTGCTGTGGCGGCCGCGCGGTGCGTGTGCGATGAGCGCGCGGTAGTGCGGCGCGCGACCGCCGTGCTCGTTCAGCGCCTGCTGGCCGCCGCGCCGTAAATGCCTCCTCCCAACGACCTGGCGGTACCTCCCCACCAACTGCACGCCATCAATTGACCCTCCCGCTGCTGTGGCGGCGGCGCGGTGCGCGTGCGACGAGCGAGCGGTGGTGCGGCGCGCGGCCTCCGTGCTCGTTCAGCGCCTGCTGGCCGCCGCGCCGCAAACGCCTCCCAACGACCTGGCGGTACCTCCCACCAACTGCACGCCATCAATTGACCCTCCCGCTGCTGTGGTGGCGGCGAGGTGCGCGTGGGACGAGCGCGCGATGGTGCGGCGCGCGGCCGCCGCGCTCGTTCAGCGCCTGCTGGCCGCCGCGCCGCAAACGCCTCCCAACGACCTGGCGGTACTCCCCACCAACTGCACGCCATCAATTGACCCTCCCGCTGCTGTGGATGCCGCGCGGTGCGTGTGCGACGAGCGCGCGGTAGTGCGGCGCGCGCCCGCCGTGCTCGTGCAGCGCCTGCTGGCTGCCGCGCCGCAAAAGCCTCCCAACGACCTGGCGGTACCTCCCCACCAACTGCACGCTATTAATTGACCCTCCCGCTGCTGTGGCGGCGGCGCGGTGCACGTGTGACGAGCGAGCGGTGGTGCGGCGCGCGGCCGCCGGGCTTGTGCAGCGCCTGCTGGCCGCCGCGCCGCAAACGCCTCCCAACGACCTGGCAGTACCTCCCCACCAACTGCACGCCATCACATGATCCTACTAATTATATTATATTGTTTTTGAAAACAGGAATCGGTCTTATTTTGAAAGGTATGAGTATGGGGATGATGATTTCTTCATTATGCAAGTTGTTAGTTGTCTGAGTAGGACAACCGGATTAAACCGCACAACGCTACCGCAATAGATCTTTAAAAACTTCTTTAAATTGCTTGATATTTTTACGCGATAGAGCGACGCTGGAGCTACATTAGAGTTGTATGGGTACGCTCGACCGGAGCAGGACCACGCTCTTACTGAGTACCAGCGTAAAATAGTAGCGTGATGCTGCTGTGTTTCGTATGGTGAGTGTACAGAACCGGAGACACTATTTACTGAAGTCGAGGCATTCTATGTTAGTCCTCAGGGGTGACAACGCATTTGCATTTTGATCCATAATTGAGGATAAAATTGAATGCTGTGGCATTCATTAACCATCAGGTGGACTATGTGCTCGTTTGTCACCTAATGGTATAAAAAAAAAAGAAAAAAATATATATATCTCTCACATTTGACGCTGCTGCCCTTTGCCTAGAGTTGCTAACCGTACTATATAATAAAATATTGTACTATATTTTCAGTAGGTGTACTGTAAGCTGCTACGAAAATATAAAAGTAAAGTAAAGTTACAGCCTATATACGTCCCATTGCTGGGCACAGGCCTCCGCTCATTTCTGAGAGGGTTTTAGGGCAAGGAATTGTCCGCCGCGCTGCCCCAATGCGTGTTGGCGAACTTCACATGTCTTCGAAATATATTTTTTTTTATTTATTTCTCTGACATGCAGGTTTCCTCACCATGTTTTCCTTTACCGCCGAGCACATGGTAAATCAGTACTTAAAATTGCAATTAACAATTTTATTGGTGCCGGCGGGGATCGAACCCGGTTTGCTCGCGTACTGTGAAATTGACGGCGAGCGCTAACCATCTGAGATACCACGGCTCACGAAAATATACTATATGCAAAATACTATAATTTAAGCCCAACAAAATATAGTATAAATGAAAACTATACCTTCATGCACATGCAGAGAGATAAGCAAATACCAAGAAAGGTATACTTTTTCCAGATTCTCGTGGGGCTGTGTCGCGATGCTAGCATTCTAGTGCGCACGACGGCTATCATAGGGCTGAGCGAGCTTGTGCTGCAGAAGCCCAGTGAAACGTTGCTAGATGCTTTTCTTACAGGACCAATGCACCAGCTTTCTGATCCTGAGGCTAAGGTGAGACCTCAGCACTTAAATTTTAATCTCAAATAAATCTGGATTAATTTAGCATCATTGTTGCATGTTGCAGAATGAAATAAAGATGATAGCACTTTAGAGAGCCTCTATCTTTTGATTTATTCAATCTTTATTGCGCACCTTATACTAAGGGATATAAAGGGCGGACTTAATGCCTTATGGCATGGATTCTGGTATTATTACAGCCAAGTCCGCTGCTGAATAAAGGCCTTCTTCATAGTATGCTACAAAATATGGACCTGAGGCAAATTAACTCATCAACTCTCTCATGCAACTTTAGTTTACTCACGCAAAGAATTACAATAGAATTCTAGTGCTACCTTTGACCTCGGGTAAAAAAGCAAATATTGGATTCATTAGAAAAAAAAAGTTTTTGTCGTGTAACCAGCGTAACTTAGCAGCTTAATGCTGCTGTGTTTCATATGGTGAGTGTAGAGAACCGGAGACCCGATTTACTGCGATCGAGGCATTCCATCTTAGTCCTCAGGGGTGACAACGCATCTGCATTTTGATTTCTAATCCTAATCGAAGATAGATGTAGATGTCTATGGACCACACCATCCACTTACCATCAGGTGGACTGTGTGCTCGTTTGTCACCCTTATCATATACAAAAAAAAACCGTAAAAGCTCATTGCAGGTTATAAATCTTTTCCTAATCGAGAGTAGAGAGAGTTTTGCAATAAATATCACTTCCGGCCGGCTGGCTGGCGCATTATCGAATATGTACATGGAGATTTGCAGAACGCATGATTATAACACGTAAAATTTCGACAAACTTATTGAGTCAATAATTTTTATGTGAAAAATATTTTTGTCAATTACGATTTCTTTACTAAATTTAAAATATATATTAAAATAATTTCAAATGGCAATGTTAAAAATGTTAACTGCATAGGCCTTAAATTAATTGTGATAATATTTTCATATTTATTTCTATCTAGACTACAATAATTTTTAAGCTATTGCATAGCTTTTATCGCGGGCTTTAAGCGCGGCGACCGAATCAAGAAATTCCGTAACGAAAAAAACCTAAGCCCTGAAAAACTAACATCGTCTAACGTCGTTTAAGTTCGGCAGATTTCGGCACGGTGTTTGTTTGCGTGCTATTAGATGTGGCGTGTAAACTAGTTGCATGTATTGTAAGATAATAAAAATATTTTAAACAATAATATAGTTTATTCCAAGAAGCATATACTTTGGATTTATATGAGTCGTCGTCATGCTATCAACTTTCGTGATTTTAGAGTATTTAATAAACACAGACTTTATAGAAAATTATCGTTTGTCGTAAGAACTCGTTAATTACCGTAAACCTATAGTTTTTAATTATTGTTGTGAATTACTACTGACTTTAGTTTCAATGATAAAAATTCCTGAATAACCTACATCTATTGTAAGATAATAAAAATATTTTAAACAATATTAACTTCAAATTTATTCAATAAAAGAAAAAAAATTGTTTTCTTATCGGTCACCACGCTCTAAAAGTGTAACTTGAATTAATATCAAAGAAAAAAACAAAGAAAAAAATACTGCATAAATAAAATAAATAATTATTAATTATAATTGCATAAGTTGATAAAAAAGCTATGCAATAGCTTCACTGCGGCAGTCCCCGAGTGCCACATCTGTTTTTTATTCAATATAGATCACACGTTATACTTATTGAAGTCATTTTTACTTTACAACTGGGAAGAACCAGCAAGAAACCCAGCGGGACTTTTTTAAAAATTAATTTTTACAATATGAAAGGTTATACAAACCATTTATAAAATTTATTTTAGAAACAGCTTGGAAGTGACCAACTCATTCCCAGGGATTATTATCAACCATGTATTAATTTAATATTGTAATAACCCTTTTTATACAGTTTTTGTTTAATAAAATATTTAAACTTAATAATAAAAAGACCTTGTATATTTTCTGCGATTTTGTTATAATGGCGTATACATTGCCCTAAGAATGATTTACGGACTCGCGGAGTCGAGAAACTGGTATCACTAGCTTGTTTTCGGTCCTAGTTTTTACAGAGTTTATATCTCTTTTTTTACTAAACTACTTTTGAATATACATATTCACTATATTGAATGTTTTGTAAACAATTTATAGTAATATATTTAAAAAATTGAAGGTTCAAGAACAAGTGGTAACGCAAATCCAGCAAGTCTTATTCGAACGAATACGTAAGTATACTACGACGGAACAAGAAGACCGACTTCCCTGGTTGTTCCTTGACGGGATCATCCGACATAACATGCGACGATACCTGCAGAAGGCTTGCGCTCTCCTCGATAAGTCTTCCAAATGTATTAAGTAAGTTTTTACAGTCTAGTGTAGTTTTTTGTTCCAGTCCACAATGATGATATATTTTTAAGCTATTGCATAGCTTTTATCGCGGGCTTTGAGCGCGGCGACCGAATCAAGAAATTCCGTAACAAAAAAAACCTAAGGCCTGTAAATCTAACACCGTCTAATATCTTTTAAGTACGGCACGGTGTTTGTGTGCGTGCTACCGGACGTAACGTGTAGAAGACTAGTTGCATGTATTGTAAGATAATAAAAATATAATGATTTCTTAAATTTACGCGAACACTACACATTGAATAAAACTAAATTTACGGATTTTATCGCGTTTATTTAACTACTTTTACTTATTTTTAATTCCCGACGTTTCGGGTGCTTTACAGCAACCATGGTCACGGGGGGGGGGACTGAGATGTTTGACGTCCCAATGTCATAGTTAGTCCGGCTACCTTCAGTTTTTGAATATTAATTTTTGGTCCGATTTACGCAAAACGAGCTTATAGTATCATGAAGTCTTGCAGTGGTATGCTCAGGTTTGGATTTAATTTTGTTAATTATAGGATCCCAAGCAGGTGGCAGCACCCATCCATCTTCTCTATTGAAATTTGGATGTTTTTTAATTTCAATAGCCTCGCGTATCATCCTTGGTAGGAATCGGTGTTCTTTTGCGAGAATTTGTGGTTTATCAAAACGAATGTAATGGTGGGGACGATCTTGAACATGTTCGCAGACTGCAGACTGCAGACTTCCCGGAGCGTCGGTGCTTCACGTCAGCTATATGTTCTTTCACGCGGGTTTTTATGGATCTTTTTGTTTGACCTATGTAAGAGAGACCACATTCACAATCTAACTTGTACACTCCTGCATCTTGTAGAGGGATATTACACTTGACGGATGGTAAAAATTGACTAATCTTCTTCGGCGGATTGTAGTATGTTTTAATAGAAGCTCGCTTCAAGATGTAGCCAACCTTGTCTGTGACTCCTCTGACATATGGTAGTACAGCAGGTACACGCTCGACTGTGGCTGGCTTCACTCGGTCACTGTGACGTAGGCGCGGGACCCGAAGCTTGTTGTCTTGCAATACTTGCTTGACATGCCATGCCCCGTGACCATGGTTGCTGTAAAGCATCCGAAACGTCGGGAATTAAAAATAAGTAAAAGTAGTTAAATAAACGCGATAAAATCCGTAAATTTAGTTTTATTCAATAATAAAAATATTTTAAACAATAATATAGTTTATTGCAAGAAGCATATTCTTTGGATTTATATGAGTCGTCGTCATGCTAGCATAACTTTCGTGAATTTAGAGTATTTAATAAACACAGACTTTATAGAAAATTATCGTTTGTCGGAAGAACTTGTTAATTACCATAAACTTTAATGATTTCTTAAATTTACGCGAACACTACACATTGAATAAAACTATTATTTACGGAGTTTCCCGAAACGTTGGGATAGTAAAAACAAATTAAAGTAATTAAACGCGATAAAATCCGTAAATAATAGTTTTATTCAATACCATAAACCTTTTTAAATAAAGTAACTCTTTTTATACAGCTCTTCTTTGATATTTTTTTAAACTTTGCAATAGAGATACTCTGCTCAATAGAGATATTGTGAAGATATTCTGGGTCTATTTTTGTTATGAAAGCATACCAAACATACCATTAACCCGTGAGTGAATTACTACTGACTTTAGTTTCAATGATAAAAAATCCCTGAATAACCTACATCTATTGTAAGATAATCAAAATATTTTAAACAATATTAACTTCTCATTTATTCAATAAAAGAAAAAAGATTGTTTTCTTATCGGTCACCACGGTCAAAAAGTGTAACTTGAATTAATATGAAAGAAGAAAACAAAGAAAAAAAATACTGTATAAATAAATAAATAAATAATTATAATTGCATAAGTTGATAAAAATGCTATGCAATAGCTTTACCGCGGCAGTCCCCGAGTGCGGCAAGTATTTTTTCTACAAAGTAACTTGTTCAAGGATTAATAAATTGTTGGCAGTCACCGCATAGTGGACGCAGTGAGCACGCACTTAGGCGCAGTGGATGAGGTTCGCGACCTGCAGTGCCTGGTGCTGTTCACTAGCGTGGCGCGACACGTTGAATACTCCGACCTCGCCTTCCTCCTCGAATACTACTACAAACTGGATCACGATACGCAGGTATCTATTTAAAAACAAACGTTCCGTGTTTAATTTTAGTTTGTATTCACTTTATATGTATGTTTAGACAAATTAGAAATATTTGCTGGCCAATTATGTATCTATGTTTTATTATCAGTTTTTATTTAGTAAATTATTATATCGCACCACCAATTTATGGCTCAGTCTTGTCAGATTGTCATTATGATTTTTAAATTTCACTCTCAGCTATTTTTAAATTCCCAGAGTTTATATTGTGTTTAATCAATTAAAAGTAATGATACTCTTTACTTGTTTATTGATTCTGGTGTTCATTGATTTTATTGCATGTAAACTACCCTATAATTAAAGCGATAAGCCCTAATGGCAGGGCGCGAATCGCAAACTCAAAAAGGTCGTGGGTTCGAATCCGCCATTCGACTACTGGTGTGAACCACTCGTAACACAAGCAATTTAAGTTTACCACGAGTGGTTAAGGGGAATATTAGTAACGTTTATAGCATTGTTAATATTCTTTAAAAAAAAAACGAAAAAAAAATGGCGGCGGAAGACAACCCACTTCCCTATATTACCGTTCCGTAGGCATCGTTAGATGCGACAGACGGAACTGAAACTGGAGACGGGCAGCAGTATTGTTGGAACGTAATAAGAATATAAGAACAGCGCTTGCAAATCAGCTTGCCTAAAGTGACAGTTAAGGCATGATTATTATTGCGGGAATTAGTAATTATAGAGATGATGAGACAATCTATGGGGAAAAAGAAATCTGTGGACTTTGATAGACTGTTTTGGATGGATAAAGGAATGAACAATGACCTGTTGCTGTTGGCATGTTTTTATGTTAGGGCCACACTAACGTTAGTGTCTAAAGTCTGTTAACGCAATAATTAATGATTTTAAGTGTTAGTGTTGCCAGAGTATTATTATATATTTGCATGAAGGTGAAAGATATTCGGATACTGGCTTTACTACTGGAGCTGCTGACTGCGTGGTCAAGATGGCTGACTGCGCCTGACAGGGAGGCGCTCAGAGCACACCTAGTGCAAAGACTTGCCACCGCTACAAGTGCCGCCGATGATGGTAACACCACCTCTACTATTTTGAGTTCCTACTTGTAAATTTATTCCCAGTTCTCATTGATAAGAAAATGCTAATAAAATATTTAAAAAAGAGCCGAGGTAGTTCTCGATATCTCGATAGCGTTGTGGTAGAATCAACTACCTCATATCATCCAGTAACTGTCTTAAGAGGCGACATTTAAATAGAAGACAGCAGCACCTTCCTCGTTTTTCAAACCGCATGCCAAGTGTGGCAACTATGGCAAACATCCTCTTGCTATCCATATAGCTGTCTATAGCTTGGGCCTTTATTTGGCAGCGGACTTTTGACATGCTGTAATAAGTTAATAAATGAACGAGATAACTTTTTTATAGGATAGAGTGACAAACTAGCACACAGTCCACCTGATGGTAAGTGGCTGCGGCCCATAGACATCTACATCAATCCTCGATTACGAATAAAAAGACAGATGCGTTGTCACCCGTGAGGACTAAGATGGAATGCCTTGTTTCCAGTAAAAAGGGTCTCCGGTCTCTACACTCACCATATGAAATACAGCAGCATTAAGCTACTATTTCACGCTGGTATTCTGTGAGAAGGTGGTCCTTCTCCGGTCGAGCCGACCCATTCGTGCTACAACTATACTACTAATATAACTGCGGCATGGCTCTACCACGTATAACACCAGGCAGGCAGGTATAAAACCAACCTTTCACGTATAAAAACTTATTTAAATACTAGCTTTATATTATTTTTCTTTAGACGCCGACACGAAGTGTGTTTATTTGTTGATTATTGATTTCTGCTAAATTTCAACGTATATACTTTAAGGTTGCAGAGCCGCTTGTGCTACTCTAGCGGCTCACTTGGATCCAGAAAATTTACAGTGGGCGACAGAACTCATGCAAAATGGTAAGTTAAGTAATTAAAAGTAAAATAAAGTATAAGTAAGTTTTGGTTGTTTTGTTGCAATAAGACTAAGCAAAACTTATTTAATTTTATTACAATATCCAAGGATTTTCTCTCTTATTATTTACACAGAGCAGGGACTACTGCTCATGCGCCACGTCGTCGCCTACATAATTGTTAAGCATAGAAGGTTGTTCTATGTTCGTACAATGTTGGGATTGTCAAACTGGCATAGCGATTCGCATTTCCCACTAACCTCTTATGTCTTGCGTAATGTGCATGAAACTAATATAAGTTTAATACAACATATTTACAATATATATATACAACATACTAGCCACACTATAACCCTACTTATTGAGCTTCGCTGCAGTACAGTAAAAATAAACCTGAAGTTATAATAAAATTAAAGGAGAACAAAAATTTATTTTAAAACGGTTATAAAAATAATAACAAAAGTAATTTTATCAGCATAAAATTAATAAAAGACAGTACACGTCCGCTTTCTTTTCGAATTACATATTTTTCACTGCCTGGTGTGGTAACCCACAGAATGGGCGCCTGGTCTGGTATTGTTAAACTTTTACTCTTCTCATTATATTCTTCAATGAATTTGTAACTTACGGTAGGTAACCACACACGTACCGATATACATGCACACATATATTGTTACGCATATTGAAAGTATATTGCGCAAATAAAAAACTGGTCTTAATCAATCTGCGAAGCAGTCCCATTTATTAGAACAGATATCACAAAAAAATAATTAAAAAAGAGAGTGAGTTTAATTTTTGTAAAAGATCAGATCAGGTTAGTTCATTGTGGCTGTCAAATTCATGCGCGAAGTTGACCGCTGCGCTGGTGGATTGTTGCTTCCGTTTTATCTATTGAATAATGGCTTCCACTGGGTTTAAATATGTAAAAGTGGTGTGATTTTGTATATTAAATATCAGTGCATGTAAACTATTATTGCGGGCGATGAAATAAGTGCTCAGAGATGGGAGCCTTAAATTATCACTATGGCGCCATGAGATTATAACGTCATCGAGTCTGCTGTCTCAAGCATACCGTTATAATTCTCCCAAGAACCTTGCAATGTGATGCATCAATATAATGTATAGAAATTTTCAGACAAAATATTATTCTTATTATTTGACACTGGCAAAGTATAAACGTACGGGTCTATAACCAAAGCAAAAAAAATGTAGCGCATGTAAGCTTGTGGTGACAAGTGAGCACACAGTCCTCTTCATGTTAAGTGAATACTGTGTCCCATAAAAATTTACATCTATACACGGTTAAGAATCAAAATGCATACGCGTTTTCACTTCTAAGGATTTAGATAGAGTGCCTCGTTTCCACCAAAAAAAAAAAAGAGTCTCCGGTTCTTTACACTCGCCATACGAAACACAGCAGCATTGAGGTGCTATTTTACGCTGGTATTGTGTGAAAGCGTGGTCGTTCCCCGGTGGAGGCGAGCCATTCGTGGTAAAAGTATAATGCCGTTGCGGTGTGCAGCGGAGCGCGGCGGCGCACTGGCGCAGTGGGTGCGCGCGGCGGACGTGTCGCTGGCGGCGCGCGCTGCGCCCGCGCCCGACCTGCTGCGCCGCCTACTCGCGCCCCTCGCGCACCCGCCGCCAGGTACCAATCATTAACTACTAAAATTCTATTTACGTCATCCCTTCTAAATTTAAAAGTTAGTAAATTTACAGTCTATATACATCTCACTCCTGGGCACAGGCCTCCGTTCATTTCTGAGAGGGTTTTAGGGCAAGGAATTGTCAGCCGCGCTGCCCCAATGCGTATTGGCGAACTTCACATTTTCTACGAAATATTTTTTTCTTATTTCTCAGACATTCAGGTTTCTTCACGATGTTTTCCTTCACCTCCGAGCACATGGGTAAATCAGTACTTAAAATTTGCAATTAACAATTTTATTGCTGCCGGCGGGTATCGAACCCGATTTGCTCGCGTACTGTGAAATTTACAGCGAGCGCTAACCATCTGAGCTATCACGGCCTACCATAAAATTATACTGATATAATATAACCCTTCTAAATTCTATTATTATTATACATTTTTAACACTATTTAAATATTGCTACGTTTAGGAATATCCGTGGTTTGGTTTATCTTTTTCTAATCAAAATATTTCTTAATTTACTCCAAGACTTCCACTCGGTACAAAATAAGGTTGACAGCCATTCTATTATGTATTATAGTATCTATGGTATTTCACTTCTTTGTTGTCGATATTCCAAGTATTAGAACTAAACAGTTTGCTCCGTCTTTTGTAATGCGTTACAGCAAAAGAGTGGAATAATTTGCCGGCGTCTGTCTTTCTAAAGTGAATAGGCCTCTAATACGCTGAGACAGTACGATTTACCATCTAGAGCTACATTGCTGCTTACCACCAGGTGGGATTGTGGTTAAGCACTGGCTTATAATAAGTAAAAAAATAGTAATAACGAAACCGTACCCTCAAGTTTTCTTAAGAAATTAACTCCCCCACCATGAAATGCATGAAGGTTAGAGAACAGGAGAACGATCACTACGTACTGAAGCATAGCCCGCCTGTCCTAGAAAATTGTAGAATTTATAGCGACGCTGACGTCGGTGAGTAGTGACTGCGAACTTAGCTGTTTATGAGGAGTACAAGTAGATAAAGTTAGTTGAATAACGTACAAATTTTCTCCGCGGCATTGGTGAGAAAATTTTCATGCTCCCTAATTTTGTAATTTTTGTCAAAAAGAAACATTAAAAAAATGGAGAAATATTTTATTGTGCGTGGATGTGCAAGTGGTTTAGCATCTGATCGGAAAAATCAACTGAAAATGACTTTTATTGACCGAACTTTTCGCGATCGCAGCGCTTCACTTATGGTGTCCATATTTCTGGGACACCATTTTCTACGGCGATCGTTCTCCTGTTCTCTAACCTTCATGATGAAATGTGTGAAATATTTGACGTGATTGTTGAGCGGCGCCGGTCTGGTGGTAGTGGATGCCCTGTAGAGCGGATGGTTGTGTGGTGCAGAGTGGAGCGGCGCGCAGCTGGGCGCGTGCGTGGCGGGCGCGGGGCGGCTGTGCGTGCGGTCGCGCGCCGCTGCCGCCGCCGCCGCGCCGCCGCTGGCCGCGCTGCTGCGTGACGCCTCTGCGCCGCTGCCCGCGCGCCTCAACGCGCTGCTCGCGCTCGCCGACATCTGCGTAAGGTGACTAAGCCCCGAACCTTCGCTAGAGCGAACGTCCTCTATACAATGACTGTGACAAACAGAAACACGAACAATTTTTTTAAATTCAATATAGATAATAAATTATTTGACTTTAAAAAAATACGTCTTACAATCATGTATGTTACACAATTAACAACACAAAACAAATTAGAAATAGCTTGGTAGCGATCACCTTTCCGTGGAGTTATTATCATCCATATCATAATATATATAAACATAATTTAATAAAGTTTTGAACTTTGTGCTGGTCAAATTTTGTATATGAGTATTTTGTGAAATTTTGTTGTAAAAATGTATACATCGCTCCAATAATGAATTGCTGACTCGGTGGAGTCGAGTAACTGGTACTACAAGCTTGTTTCTGTTCCTAGTATTTATTTTTTTGTATTTATAATATTTTTATTATATTATATATTATTTATTTCTTGTACAGAATGAATATCACTTATTTTTGTTAAACTACTTTTATTTTTGTGTACGTACTATTATATTTTCATGAATGTGTGGCGACGCTGTAGTTCACACTTTGGTGTGAACACGCAACCAACAACCTTCGGAAACTTTAATTTGTCATTATCCTCAAGAACCCTACCATTCACTACTGAGAATCGTCTTCTTTAGTCTTCAGTTCCTGTAAGCCAGTCCAACTTGTCTTCATTTCCACTCATGCAGATAATTTATAAGGCAGACTTTTTGCATTTGCTCCGGCGCATAATGCTCACCGGCATCAGTTGCAAGTGCGTAGAAGTACGGCATGTACTACACACTGGCATTAAGGACGCACCAGCAATCGGACTGCATTATCGACCTCCGGTCTGAGGAGGGGGGTGATGTGGCAGCGCTATCGTCGCGCCAGAAGCCAAACACATCGAAGCCTAAATCGCGCTATCAAAGTTCCAAAGCAAAACAGTATATACAGAATAGATCCGCACTATCACATGGAGCGTCGGCCGCACCCCGGGCAAGAACACATTGCCCGGTGGGTGTTTATGATATATATACTTATACGCCAGTATATTCCAAATTTATGAAGAAAACATATTTTTGAATTTTAAAAAAGATTTAGTTCTTCCACAACAACCCTTCTAGTGTATCAGCAGGACAATAGCTCAACTACATAGGTCAACTAGTTAAGCTATTTAACAATGGGAGAACTCCCCTTTTCCTTCCACGGCCACAAATGCATTGAGAGGCCAAAGTTAATACTTAGTCGCGTAAATAAGTTCTGTCAAAACCTTATTATTTAAAATTTTGGAATACTGGCTAGATGAACTTCACCAATTTTAAAAATATAACGTTTGCGCTTGCTGAAAATAAAAATAAAACATTAATTTTCATTCATTTTCAAATACGGAGTGTTCGAAGAAAGAAGATAGAGTAGCGGTTATCGCGTTGCACCGCTGTGGTTACGCGCCAAAAGAGATTTTCAATATTCTACAAAAAATGAAAATAACCCTACAATCGCACTATCAAACTATTCCCTGAAGATTCAAGCTTCGAAGATCGTAAGAGGACCGGCCAACCTTGTACAGTTAGGACACCCGCGATCATCAAAGCAGTGAAGGCGCGAATCCAACGAAGTCCTGTTCGTGAACAAAAATCTTAGCTCTTCAGATGAGCCTAAGCAGAACCACGGTCAAAAGAGTTATCAGTGAAGACCGAGGATTACGAGCTTATCGTAAGAAGACCGGGCATTTTTTGAACGAGCGTTTGAAAAAAATTAGGCTGGATAGATCGCGCTTTGTTACGGCGGTACGCGGGAAAATATATCACGAGATTTTGTTTTCGAATGACAAAAAAATTTGACATCGAAGAAAGCTATAAACAAAATGATAAGCTCTATGCCCACAGCAGTGATGAAGCCAGCAGGCGTATTCCGAGGTTTCAACGAGCACATTATCCTTCGTCACTCATGGTTTGGCTTGAAGTCTTCGATCAACAATACCAACTAGATGTCGGGTCGGCACAAGAAATCCATCTAAGTAAATAACAGCGCACATGAGACGTGAGCTCTTGTTTCGTTTAGTTCACTTGAAACACAGCCAATGTAAACACGTTTCACAATGCCGCAATGTGTATTTAAAAGTTGCAAGAATAATGCCCGAAAAAGTAATTTAACGGCCGGAGCGTCTTACTTTCGGTAATTACATGTATAATATGTTATATTTTAAGCTCTAAACTAACAAATAGTATCATATTTGAAACAAAATTACCGATCAAAACCACCCCTACAAATGTTTTGCCAATGTTGACCAATACACGCGCAAACATTTGTGAAACAGAACATTGACGCATGAAGTAGATTTGTATTGTAATAATTTTTAATAATTCGTTACCAAAACTTTAAATAATGGTAATTGCTACTTTTGTCTTTGTTTGTGTAATTCCAATAGATACATAGATTTTTTTTAGCTTTCCTAGCTTTCTTCCCCGGTCGAGCCGATCCATTAGTGCTACAACTATACTACTAATATAATTGCAGCATAGCTCTACCACGTTTTAAAAGTATGCAATGGGCGATCTTATCGCTGACAGCAATTTCTTCCAGACAACCAATAAATGGACAGGATTACATGAAGATGACAGTAGTAGGGCAAATTGGTGTGATAAAAATAATACACATATTTACATATATATATATATATATATATATATATATATATATTGAATTAGTAATTAAATGCAATCAATATACTACATACTATATTATATTTAATGGCTTGTGTGGAAAGTATATATACCAACAATCATAAATGCCCAAAACATAAAAATAATTTTAATTAAACTTATGATCATATTATAAATTATTTTAGTGTTCAACGCGACTCAATACTTCCTGGACCAAATTCGAAGAAGAAAACAGAAACATAACAAAATGACGTAGCTGGCAAGGCAATAATGGAAAAAAAAACTTTATTTGTTACACGTTAAGGTTGATTTCATACCAAAGTATTTATGTCTTTTCATTTCCAAGTGATAGGAGTATTGTATAGCTTTGTTCTTTTTTGTGACTAATGATCGTGAGATTTGTGACTTTATTACTAGATGCGATGGTTGTAATTAGGTTGAGCTTAAAACTATTTTAATTTTTTGTCCCATTTCTTTAGTAAACAAATGTAGCTGTTTAAGTTTATATTCACGCGGACAGTATTTAGCTATGATTTTGTACGTGACCCGTTATCTAGTTGGTATTGTTGATCGAAGTTTGGAGTCTCATATTCAGGCTGTTGCTGTTCAGGTGTTTTTCTGTGAAAAAGGTGTAAAAACCAGTGCCAAGATGTACCAAAGTACCGTCCTAACAAACATAGTTGAACTTCTTTCTCAAACAATGTTCAAAAACAGACGTTTTATATTTCGACAGGACTCTGCACCAGCTCATGGTGTAGAGTCCTGTTGAGAAGACACGAAGCACGCAAAACTGATTGACCGCCCATGAAATTGACTATATCGGACATGAAGACTGGCCCTCTTCTAGTCCAGATTTAAGCCCACTGGATTATAAGATATGGCAACATGTGGGAGGAGAAAGTCTGCGCTAAACTTTCCCGGAATTCTAAATTTAATTTACTTTTCATTTCATATATTATAATTTCTATATAATTATCAAAAAGAGTACCTGACTAAGTATATTCATTTTCTTAAATTTTTCTCTGAGCGACTCTTTAGGTTTTAAATTGTAGCTTGCTCTTCTGTAAAACAAATATAATTTCAGTGTCAATCGCGTTTCCCCATTGCAAAATACCGTACGACATTATGCTATGGAAATAGCTAAAGTAAACTAATCTAGTTGCTTCAACATTGATAAGATTTCTAATCTTTTTTAAAAACTAAGTCCGGTTTCTAGTTTTAACATATGAGGGCCACACAATTTTTCCATGCATTGAAGATATATCGGATATATCAGCTCAACATCAGCATCAGTTTTCGAACGACCCATTGTGAAACCGAATTTATTTTTATGAAGTAAATTTCTTACGTTAAAAAAATTAACATTTGATCAAGAATACGTTTTTCCAAAAATTTTAGTAAGTGTGTTCAAAGAGAAAGTTTAAGAAGTAAAAGCATTATCTATTGCTAATAAAAAGGTCTACGGTTCTCTACATGCACCATACGAAACACAGAGCATTAAGCTGCTATAATATGATGCTACTATTCTGTGAGAGCGTGGTTATTTCCCGGTCGAGTCGACCAATTGTACATGCTACAACCGTAATATCATAGCTGCAGCGTTGCTCTACCACGTCGTGCAAACTTTAAAAAAGAAGGTTTCAGATACGTTCTCACCTTTGAGGACTAAAATAGAATGCCTTACAGCCTGTTACTTTACTGGCTCTCTATTGTCTTTAACCTGAAACACGACAGTAAAATATATGTGAATGTATGTGTACAAATATGCAATCTACTAGTACCTACGGGTTTAGCTATAATATTATTGTAATACTGCAGGTATACGTGTATCGTTGAGCCGCTGCTGGACTCCGTGTGCGAGTGTGTGAACACGGAGACTGTGGCGCCCCTGCGTCGCGCTGGCGCGCGCGCGCTCACCCGTCTGCTGCTGGCCGGCTACTTGCGCCTGCGCACGCCGCTCTACTACCGGTGCGTACGTGCGCACGTACTGCACTAGGCTTGTGCGTGTGCGTGTGAATGTCGCGCGCTCACCCGCTTGCTGCTGGCCGGCTACTTGCGCCTGCGCACGCCGCTCTACAACCGGTGCGTACGTGCGCACGTACACTGCACTAGGCTTGTGCGTGTGTGTGTCGCGCGCTCACACGCCTGCAGCTGGCCGGCTACTTGCGCCTGCGCACGCCGCTCTACTACCGGTGCGTACGTGCGCACGTACACTGCACTAGGCTTGTGCGTGTGCGTATGTATGTCGCGCGCTCACCCGCCTGCTGCTGGCCGGCTACTTGCGCCTGCGCACGCCGCTCTACAACCGGTGCGTACGTGCGCACGTACACTGTACTAGGCGTGTACGTGTGCGTGTGTATGTCGCGCGCTCACCCGCCTGCTGCTGGCCGGCTACTTGCACCTGCGCACGCCGCTCTACTACCGGTGCGTACGTGCGCACGTACACTGCACTAGGCTTGTGCGTGTGCGTGTGTATGTCGCGCGCTCACCTGCTTGCTGCTGGCCGGCTACTTGCGCCAGCGCACGCCGCTCTACAACCGGTGCGTACGTGCGCACGTACACTGTACTAGGCGTGTACGTGTGTCATTGAGCTATTATGTACTACGTATTAGAGGCGACACTACATTCAGCTGCTCTGTTCCACTCAACTGCGGTGCATACACCGCACTTTAATCAGTCACTCGCTAGGCGTTTGTAGAGTTGTCACGTGTTGTGTTGATTAAAAAAAAATCTCTTGATTAAAAATATGACATCGTGTGTACTTAGATATTGCACAAATAATTGAAGAAATGTCAGTAAAAACCAAGGAATCACTATTCATTGGTTAATAAGATACTTAATCAATAAAAAAGTATTATAAATTAATAATAAAACAAATTATTCCTAAGACGCTATCTCGTGTCGTGGAATATAGATTATGAAATTAATATGTTCAGATACGACATTTCTGTGGGTAATTAAGTATAGAACGAATATATTATTATACACATTTTTTTTGTAGAAACATATGTAAGTTATTATAATTAAGCTAAATTTTTCATGTTTAAATCTGCTTATTATTCTCTTATTTTATTTTTAGGTTTCCACTACAAATTCAAAGTGGAATAAATTCGTCCATTTTTGGCTCTCGCGTGCCCAGCATTTATGAACGACTCCTATTCTAATTTAAATAAATATATTTGTTATTTAAATGTTACGTTAATAAGTTTTGTTAAACATACATTTAGTATGTTTTTTAATATTTGACATAGATGCGTTTTAAAATATTGAGATAAAATATCATTAAAATGTAATCGTGATATAATATTATGTAATATTAAATAAGCAAATATAACATACAAAATAAATGACAAAATTTAAATATTGTTCTCGATATAATTTACCTATTTAACAATACAATCTACTATTACCTACGGATCATTCTACCTATGTTTATTCTATGATAAAAAAACCAACCACGCGAACACAGAGTAGCGCACATTTTTTGTTTGAGATAGCTGTTCTAGTACGTAAGTACATATTACTTCAATGACGTGTGCGTGTGTATATCGCGCGCTCACCCGCTTGCTGCTGGCCGGCTACTTGCGCCTGCGCACGCCGCTCTAATACCGGTGCGTACGTGCGCACGTACACTGTACTAGGCGTGTACGTGTGCGTATGTATGTCGCGCGCTCACCCGCCTGCTGCTGGGCGGCTACTTGCGCCTGCGCACGCCGCTCTACAACCGGTGCGTACGTGCGCACGTACACTGTACTAGGCGTGTACGTGTGCGTGTGTATGTCGCGCGCTCACCCGCCAGCTGCTGGCCGGCTACTTGCGCCTGCGCACGCCGCTCTACAACCGGTGCGTACGTGCGCACGTACACTGTACTAGGCGTGTACGTGTGCGTGTGTATGTCGCGCGCTCACCCGCCTGCTGCTGGCCGGCTACTTGCGCCTGTGCACGCCGCTTTACAACCCGTGCGTACGTGCGCACGTACACTCTACTAGGCGTGTACGTGTGCGTGTGTATGTCGCGCGCTCGCCCGCCTGCTGCTGGCCGGCTACTTGCGCCTGCGCACGCCGCTCTACTACCGGTGCGTACGGGCGCACGTACACTGTACTAGACGTGTACGTGTGCGTGTGTATGTCGCGCGTTCACCCGCCTGTTGCTGGTCAGCTACTTGCGCCTGCGCACGCCGCTCTACAACCGGTGCATTCGTGCGCACGTACACTGCAACTAGGCTTGTGCGTGTGTATGTCGCGCGCTCACCCGCCTGCTGCTGGCCGGCTACTTGCGCCTGCGCACGCCGCTCTACAACCGGTGCATTCGTGCGCACGTACACTGCAACTAGGTTTGTGCGTGTGTATGTCGCGCGCTCACCCGCCTGCTGCTGGCCGGCTACTTGCGCCTGCGCACGCCGCTCTACAACCGGTGCGTACGTGCGCACGTACACTCTACTAGGCGTGTACGTGTGCGTGTGTATGTCGCGCGCTCACCCGCCTGCTGCTGGCCGGCTACTTGCGCCTGCGCACGCCACTCTACTACCGGTGCATTCGTGCGCACGTACACTGCAACTAGGCTTGTGCGTGTGTATGTCGCGCGCTCACCCACCTACTGCTGGCCGGCTACTTGCGCCTGCGCACGCCGCTCTACTACCGGTGCGTACGGGCGCACGTACACTGTACTAGACGTGTACGTGTGCGTGTGTATGTCGCGCGTTCACCCGCCTGTTGCTGGCCAGCTACTTGCGCCTGCACACGCCGCTCTACAACCGTACGTACACTGCACTAGGCGTGTGCGTGTGTCGCCGGAAAACTTGATCAGCCGGGAGCGGCCAACATTGCGTGTGTTAGTACTAAGCAATTCTATAAATACCGCAGTACTTTGGAACTTTGGTAGCGTGATTTAGACTTCGGTACGTTTCACTAGTGGCTCGACGACACCGCCACAAAAGCAAACCTCTACAACGGGTATGTGTTTAGCACAGCCCCATATTTTAACGGGTTGATGAAAAAGAATTTGATTTGAAAAATGTTATCTGTTACTAAATGCCATGACTTTAAACAAACCGATCAGTGCACGGAAAATCTCTAATGAGTTTATGTTTACACTAAAACTATTCATCTTTGTAATCGTAAATTCCTAAATAAATAAATAAATAAAATAAAATAAATAAATTGAGGGAGGACGGGAGGTGCTCTTCAAACTAGGTAATAAACATCATTTTATTTTATTCAGCGGATGGTTGCAAAGTAACTATTAATATCTTTATTATTATGGACTTGTAAAATTTAAAATAAAATTGAAAAAATTGTTATACGAATTTGCATTAGATTTTAATTTTCCTACACACTTTAAACTGTTTATCGAGTTGAATTTTAGGATTTTTATAAATTATTAATTCGAAAGACTTAAAGAATATTTACGGTTTAGTAATAAGGTTTCCCACATTCTCACAATTATGTATGTTGAACAGTGGGGACATGTATCCACTAACATTAATCCCACTGACTGTGCGTGAAGAGGACTAAAACGGACGAAATTAAATAGCCACGAATTGTGGTGGAACAGGACCGTATCTGTTGACTGGTTAACAAAACGAATTGTTCGTATTGAAAAGCCTAAAATGATGGACACTCATAAAGAAGAACTAATAAAATCGTTTGATGTTAAAGAAAAGGGATGTAATAATTTTGAGTGGATGAATTTTACTAAGTTATATCGTTATGTCGCAAATTTCTAAAAAAGAAATTGTCGCCAGATGAAAGGAAAGCCTTTTCAAAAATTTGCTACAACTGACGAGATGAATCAAACACTATAATTTTGCATTAAACAAGTTCAAGAATGTGAGTTCGCGGAACTAATAAATTCTTTGAAATTAAAAGGTTGTGTTGCAAACCGGAGCGTGTTACGCACTCTTTATTAAGGATGGGTGGACGCCTAAACCAAGCCTAATGTAAGCTTCGATCAAAAGAATCCGATTATTTTGCCGGCTGAGAATCATCTCAGCCAGTTAATAGGTGCTAATGCTCACAAAGACTTCATGGTGGTCTGCAACTTATGATGAGTTTTTTGAGATCAAAATTTTGGATATTGAGAGCACGTTATATGGTTAAAAAATACTACAAAAGTTCTGTTGTATGTTTAAGATACTCTAAAGTAGCAGCCACCCAATTAATGGGTCATTTGCCGGAACTTAGATTAAAACCGAGCAGACCTTTCAAATGTTCAAGAGTGGATTATACAGGTCCAATTAATATCTGGTTCTCTCCAGTCCGTGGATCAAAATCATACGAGGAATACATTTCTTTGTTCGTTTGTCTGGTGACTCGCGTGATCTATTAAGAAGGGGTAACTAATGGACGATGTACGATGTGCAAAAGCTCATTTGAGTCGAGTTGTAGGTGACACTACCTTAACATTTGAAGAGGTTTCTACTATGCTGACATAAATCGAGACCTGTTTAAATTCGCGACCTTTGAGCGTTCTTACCGACAACCCAAATGACCCTTTTCCGTTGACACCTGGTCATTTTTTAATAGGAGAACCTTTATTAAATTTTACCGATGTAGATTACTCTGATCGAAATGTGAGCGGCTTAGATAGGTGGAAAATTATCCAAAAAATGGTAAATTCGTTTTGGAAAAGGTGGTATAAAGAATTTTTAAGTAATTTAAATCAAAGAAACAAGTGGTATACGAAAAAACATGAAATTAATATTGGAGATGTAGTGGTGTTAAGGGATGATAATATACCACTCGCCAAATGGATTTTATGGAAAGTAACAAATAAGCATGCCGGACCTGATGATGTGACTAGAGTCGTTGCTATTAAATGTAAGGGAGGGTATTTAAAACGCGCTGTTAGTAAGCTTTGTGTGTTAAGTCATGAAGATTTAAATCACATTTTCACGGTGGGCGGCTTTCTTCTTTAGTTGTCACGTAATTGTTAGGAGTATGTGGATTTTTTTTGAAGAACAAGTCCTTGGTGGGCGGAATGAGTAAAAAGATTTATGTATATAGTGCAGTCTACTGATCGACAGATGGCGCTATTCGATTTATGTTCGCGCTATTAAATGTATCCTGCCGTAGTACTTAATTACCCGCTTATTTATGTCAATTGAGTTTTACGAGTATATAAATGAGTTGTGTTTACGTGAGTGCGTATCATTTCTAACATAATAGTAAAAATATTAATTGTCATTTGTCACTTTTATTTCAATTTTCAACACTGTATTAGTAATACGGCAGACTTGAATTATTTAAATCGTATTTCAGGTACTGTGCTCTTCTAGCGGATGATGACCATGACGTCCGTGAACCAGCTGAATACTACGTGAGCAGTTGTCTCACAACCGACGCTATCTACCATCATTTCGTTGACTGCATCTTGCATTATAATAGTGACGGAGGTATGCTTTTCTTCTAGACATGTGTCAATCATTCATTTCTTGCGACCGAATCATTTTAGTACATTTCGTAACGCGTACTGGTACATTCGGATCGATCATTCAAATGGATCATTTCGGGCTCCAGTACTCTGAGAGTGTGAGATCCATTGGGAATCGAAAGTTTTCTGACATCTACTACATGCTATAGGTAAAAACCTCAATCTATCGAACTAAAAGTTATTGACTTTCAAGGTGGTAAGTATGATCGACGCTAGATGGCATAAACACAAAAACCTAAAGTTATCATATAATGTTTAATAAATTTGTTTATTCTTAAATTTCATTCCTAACAATACACAATTTCATCTTACTTTACATGTCTAAAAATAGGAATTGTAACAAAATTAAACTTTTACCTATCTTATACCTCATCATTTGTCATAAAATCTTTTGAAGTGTTATTTTTAATAAACTTAACGAAATGATATTTTTAATTGAATTGTGAATGAGCCAAACAAATCGCGGGTTAAAAAGGTACCGTCAATTGTTTGTGATTGGTTGTACTGGTACATTCAAAAACAAACGAAAGAACCATCAATACTTTAAGTGTACCAGCTCAAACGAACGAATCATGCATGATTGACACATGTCTATTTTCTTCATATTGCCTAAATTTTGTTATAGAATGTTCCATTTAAAAAGTTACCATAGTAACTTTTTATATTATCGATTTTATAAAATTGGAATTTTATAAAAGAAGTGTTACAATTTACTTGTATTAGCAAGTACACTTTTGTACACTATAATATCTTGTGTGTAACAGTTTCTGACATCATTCAAAAACCGAAGCCTCGGTCGAAGTCATTATCATAAATATGTCGCATCTCGTGTTACAGAAAACATATCATTCGACGCCAGACAGTTGATCTACGACGTAATGCTGCAGCGGTTGTCTTTGGTGCAGAAATTGAACGTGCAGTGTCGACTTGCGCGCGAAATCCTACATCACGCAGCTGACGTTACGGACGAGGGCGACGGCGAACTGCCTCGTGCGCTCAACTCTGCGCTTCTAGATACTATCACGTTGCTTTGCGGACCCAGGATGCGGCTGCCCAGTAAGTTTAACATTCAAAATGTCTCAAATATATACCTGGTTACATAGTGTCAGCCGTGGTAGCTCAGATGGTTAACTACTGCTGTAAATATAACAGAGTGCGAGTAACCCGGGTTCGATCTCCGCCGGCACCAATGAAATTGTTAATTGCAATTTTAAGTGCTGATTTACCACGTGCTCGACGGTGAAGGAAAACATCGTGAGTAAACCTGCATGTCATAGGTGTTACTGATAGCTCCCTGTGCAGGGCATGCTTGGGAGAGGAAGAAACGGCGGCTCATGTGTTGCTGACGTGTCCAGAAGTCGCTTCATACAGGGCTAAACATCTCGGCACACCGGGATCACTCCCCGAAGTTGCTTGCAACATCAAGGGACTGCTGAGCTTCTTCGGGGGAGATATCATGGCTCGAATAACCACATTATTCCTGACCACACGCAAAATACGCGCTTTGACGTGGAGTTGCGGAAAACAGCCCGTCGTAAACTAACGAACTAACCTGCATGTCTGAGGAATAAGAAAAAAAATATATTGAAGACATGTGAAGTTCGCCAACACGCATTGGGGCAGCATGTCGGACGCTTCCTTGCCCTAAAACCCTCTCAGTAATGAGGGGAGACCTGTGCCCAGCAGTGGGACGTGTATAGGCTGTAACTTTACTTTACATAGTGTCACACTGAATCTGCGGTTCTAGACTGCGGTTGCGCAATCAATTTTAAAAAGTCGATTCTCAAAAATTTTAAAGTCAATTTGAACATCGATTCATTGTTGTATATATATATATACCTAATATCACGTTGTTCCGCTTTATACATAAAAATAATTATCATCTAAAATGTTTATAGAGAAACCACAGACTACGGGTGATGGTGCGGACATAGAGGACCTACAAGAGAGAATTACGACAAATATAGTGTCGCATGTAAGTATAGTATCACATTTAACCATTGTATTGTATTTAACATAGCAGGACCGGGTCGGTTCAATCGAGAAAGGAACACGCTCTCACAGAATACTAGCATAAAATAGCAGCACAATTTTGTTAAGAATATTAACAATGCTATAAACATTACTAACATTCCCCTTAACCACTCGTGGTAAGCTTAAATTGCTTGTGTTACGAGTGGTTCACGCCAGTAGTCGAATGGTGGATTCGAACCCACGACCTTTTTGAGTTCGCGGTCCGCGCCCTGCCATTAGGCTACTGCCGCTTACACAATGTTTCTGTGTTTTGTATCAAGCACAACAGCTATATCTATACTCGATTAAGAACCACAATACTGTATCAATGTCATCTCTAAAGATCGATTGACACTTCGACAAGTACAGTAGCGAGTTTAGTTACAGGGCAGTTGACAGTAAACGGTTAAGTGGACAGTAGCGTTCAAACAATGTCTTCGTGGCGAGTTTAGTTAAGGACATTAGTTCATAAAGTTTGTTGGAGTATGACGTTTCAAGACTACAGAATTTTTCCGGTTTTCGTTTAAGATGGTTCTAGGATTACGTCAAGAATTAAATGATCCGGGCAAAGAAGTATTAATGGTTGTTGTTAAAGAAGTTTTTAAGAATTTTCATGAGTGCAGCATCTCGAGCAGGTTTAATTTTACAATTTGAACTTCTACATACATACATAAACATTCGTGTTCTAAATACTCCTGTACGAATTTATACGTGATATCATCCGTCCATTTTATTATTAAAACTCAATATAAAACGTATAAATATTCAATAAACAGTACCGTACAAACTTTGTGGCGAGTTTCATTATAAAAGTACAATTGTACGTTTTGGCGCGCAAACGTTGCGTCCTGTCAACTTATGCCCTGAACTAAACTCGCTCGTTTATACGAACGGCGAGTTAGTTGCGTGTGGCGGGAGACGCGCGAGGGGAAGCTATTCCGTTCAACTTAATCGTTAATTTGCTACTTAACTCGCTTATTGCCGTTCAAACGAGGTACAAACTTAACTCGCCAGGTTCGCAAGTTAACTCGCTACTGTACTTGCCCAAGTGTAAATCGGTCTTTAGGGCTAAAATGCAAGGCTCGTTACTACACTCAACCAAATCTAATAAATACATTTTGACAGCTGTCAGACTTATTGCACTAGGCATGCCAACCAAAAAATGACTACCATACCATACATACCAGAATAAATTAGAAGCAGATAATTTAAAATACAAAATTTTTCAGTTTCGAGGCGAATTTAAGATTGAAACTACATTAAAAATAAATTTATTCAATCACTCACTACAACTAGATGTGCTGTCTTTGTTTAGATTAATTCTGATTTTTAATGTAGTCAAAATGAATGTCCTTTTCAATGTCATCCGTAATAATTTTCCTTGTTTTTTCCACAACTTGTTCCCAATCATCCTTTGTGTCATAGGCACATGCTTCATTCAGTAAACGTTCCTTAATCTTCTTTACTGTGAAAGCTGGCTTGGTGTTTCATGGTGCTGCATAGCCTATCAAAGCATAAGATATTTTTATCTGTTTAAGTAGAGTTTATTTTACTTAACCATTGTTTAGTTTATTTATGTTTGCATTTATAACATTTTACATAATATCATCATCATCATCATCATTACAGCCCTTCACAAGTCCACTGCTGAACATAGGCCTCCCCTAAGTAATGCCACAAAGCACGGTCCTGAGCCACCTGCATCCATCGACTTCCTGCATATCTTACCAGGTCGTCACTCCATCTAGTGGGGGGTCGCCCTACACTACGCCTACCGGTACGAGGCTGCCACTCAAGAACCTTTCTTCCCCATCGGTTATCGGTTCTTCGAGCTATATGGCCGGCCCATTGCCACTTCAGCTTACTAATCCGTTGGGCTATGTCGGTCACTCTGGTTTTACTGCGGATATCCTCATTTCTGAGTCTATCACGCAGAGAAACTCCGAGCATGGCCCTCTCCATAGCTCGCTGAGCGACCTTGAGCGTCCTCATACGGCCAGCAGTGAAGGACCACGTCTCAATCCGTAAGTCATCACTGGCAACACGCACTGGTTGTACAATCTAGTTTTTAGAGATTGAGACCTGACGAGAATATATGTCGTAATTTACCGAACGCTGCCCAGCCGAGTTGAATCCGTCGATTGACCTCTCGGTCGAAGTTGGACTTACCTAGTCGGACTATTTGTCCCAGGTAAACGTACTCGTCAACAACTTCATCATCAACAAGGTCATTGAGCATAGTGCTTAAGTCCTCCAGCGATTCTGCCATAAGGACTATATCGTCGGCAAATCGAAGGTGAGCGATGTACTCGCCATTGATGTCAATACCGTATCCTTTCCAGTCCAGTAGCTTGAAAACGTCTTCCAATGCAGCGGTGAAGAGTTTCGGGGATATAACGTCACCCTGTCTTACACCTCTGCAGTTGGATAGGTTTCGAGCTCTGGTTCTGTACTCGGATAGCCATCGTAGCCCTACTGTACAAACACTTCAGCACTTCGATATACCGACAGTCAACTTGGCACCGCTGAAGGGACTGTAGCACCGCCCAAATTTCAACGGAATCAAAGGCTTTCTCATAGTCCACATACGCCAGGCAAAGTGGCAGATTGTACTCTTCAGTCTTCTGTACAATCTGCCGCAGGGTATGTATGTGGTCTATGGTACTGAAGCCTTTTCGGAAACCGGCTTGTTCGGGAGGCTGGAAGTCGTCGAGTCTGCGTGCGAGACGATTCGTAATGACTCTCGAAAACAGCACGTAGACGCGGCTCAGAAGGGAAATCGGTCTGTAGTTCTTTAAGAGAGCGTTGTCGCCTTTCTTAAAGAACAAGACCACCGCACTTCTGCTCCACGCCTCTGGAGTAGTGCCACCATGGAGGACGGAATTGAAGAGCTTCTGAAGGACTTCAAGTACCGGTGTTCCACCCGCTTTCAGAAGTTCCGCTGTAATTCCATCCTCGCCTGGGGCCCTGCCGTTTTTAAGGTGCTGGAGAGCCATTCTAATCTCGCTTAGACTGACGTCCGGGATATCATCGGAATAGTGTCGGATAAGACTTGCTCTTGGATCGTTACTCACACTTGCGTGTGGCTCCAACGATGATGTGTACAGCTGCCCATAGAATCTCTCAATCTCACTCAAAATCTCAGGTGTCCCGGAAACGATGCTGCCACACTCAGTCTTCAGCTTCGACAGTTGGCTCTTACTGGCAGACAGATCTCTGGCAAAGACTTTGGAGCCCTGGTTCCGCTCGATCGCTTCTTTAATACGAGCAGTATTAAAGTTGCGTAAGTCTCGCCGCATGCATTTGGAGATCTGTCTGTTCAGTTGCCTGTATGCTGTCAAATCTGTTGACGATTGCAGCCTCATCTCCCGTCTAACAGCCATGAGATTAAGAGTGTGATCGGAGAGTTTTTGTGTTCTTCTGCGGCGGGTCTTGCAGAACTTAGCTCCGACCGCATGGACAGTTTCCACGAGCTTGTCATTCATATCGTCCACTGAATTGCAATCTTCTAGGCACTGAAAGCGGTTACGTAACTCGAGCTGAAAGTTTTCGGGATTCTGGATTAGAGCACGAGGGGGACGGAGCGTAGACTTCATTAGACGAGACCTCTCCAACTTAACGTTTAAGTTCAGTGTGCCTCTTACCGTTCGGTGACGCTGCCAGTTTTCACCCTTGCGATCACTGAGACATCACCGAACAGTTGGCGTCTGGTCGTCATAATGAAGTCAATCTCATTTTTTGTCGAACCGTCGGGGCTCGACCAGGTCCACTTCCTGTGGGGCCGCTTCTGGAAGAAAGAGTTCATCATAAAGAGTCCCTCTTTCTCCATAAAGTCGGCCAGCTGCTGGCCCCTTCGGTTCCGTTGCCCTACTCCAAATTTCCCTAACTTCAGCTCACCGTTTTCTTTTGTACCTAGTTTTGCGTTGAAGTCTCCCATCAACACCGTGTAGTGAGTTTTGGAGGAATGCATGGCTTTGGAAATATCCTCATACATTTCCTCCACCTCCTCATCGGGATGTGCCGAGGTTGGTGCGTAAACCTGGATGACCTTTAGCGAATACCGTTTGGTGATTCTGAGTATCAGGTACGCGACCCTCGTCGACACACTCCCAATCTTTACAACGTTGTTGACGAGAGACTTGTGGACGATAAATCCGACACCTCCTTGGGACAGATGGTCGCCCTCCCGGTTATAGAACAAGTTGCCGGATTCGAGAATCACCGTATCCTCCCCCTCTCTTCGGACCTCGGATAATCCTATAATATTCCAGCGCAACTTGTCTATCTCTTCTTCCAGCTCCAGGATCTTCTCGTCAGTCCTCATGGTGCGTGCGTTAAATGTTGCCAGGTCGAGTCGTCGTAGGTGGCACCCGAACCTCCACCGGAGATTCTTAGCACCCCCTGCCCCGCCGTTACCATGGTCGCCACCGTAGCCAGGAATAGCGGGGCCGCCGGGGACTGGGGGCCGTCTATTTGTGTAATTGTTCATGGAGGGTATATTGCCATAGTTGCCACGCTTGGCGAGCGGGTTGGCAACCTCAGTTTTTTTTTTTGTCATACAATTGCTGTTATCAGGAAGATGCTGCTGCCCATCTCCTGCCTGTCTCCCTCTGTCGCCTCTTACGACACCCACGGGAAGATATGGGGTAGTGGATATTCTTAACCGCCACTACACGGTGACGGTTTACATAATAACTATCCCTTTATTTCCGATTCAATTCAATAGCATTATTTTGGCAGTGGTAGTTGCTAGCCTTATGCCCGTGCTATTCTGCTAATTTATCAATAACGTACAAAAGTTTACGTGGTTTATTTCGCTTTACTAATTGTGTTAGTTCTGCTTTCAATAATTTCATGTCCGCTCTCACTTGTTTGTGTTGCAGCCATGCTACTAAATCTGCTTTCTTATTTGCTTGGGTTGGCACTTTGTCAATTTGGACAGAGTCGTACGGCACGTTGTCC